GAGATTCAAAAGGAACATCCCGCCTCCCTTTAGAAAAGCCACCCAGACACCAAGCTTAGTGCCAGGCTGGTCCCTGATTGGCTCAGATGGAAGAGCATATGATTCTCATGGGTTAAAAGTATGTAATTAGCAGAGAAAGATGTATTAAGGCAAGAATACATTCTTTATTCGCTCAGTGTTTAAGATACTGTGAGAACAAAGGTGCTTTTGGAAACTTAAAATTTTCTGAAAAGTGGCTTCAGAACTAATTACAATCACTGCTAATCATTTAGTGTCTTTGATTACTCAGTATACTCAGTAGAGGGAGTATAGGCAGCTGCCCTACCTCTCCAGTACTTTCTGGAAGTTTTTGCTTTTCCAGCTAAGGCTTTTTTTTTTTTTTTTTTTTTTTTTTTTTTGCGGGTGGTCTTTACCTGAGAGGCAGGATCAAAGACCAGAAAATAAATAAATATTCAGATCCGAAATCTGGCATTTAGAGCAGCCCAACCTGCTAAACTTCAGATTATATTTGTAGCCAGAAGAAAATTGGAAAATATTGATTGGAAACCCCAGATTGTCAAAAGCAACTGCTCGGGTGTCAAAGACACATTCCTGGTGGAAGCAGGTGAGAGAAAGAACAAACATCACAGGTCAGAGGAAGAGTGTCCTTCAGCAGGTCGGGGTAAGTACAGGCGGTTGAAGTATATCAGAGACAGGTGGAGTCCCAGGAGGAAGGACCTCTTCCTCTCACACAAGCCTCTTCAGTTCCCCATCCCGGCCTTCTAGGCGTCGTGCGTGTGTGGTCACCTAAAGGAGTGGCTTTAGTATCCAAGGAATTTGCTTTGTTACAGGTCCAGGAACTATGATCTCCTGCTTTACACAAGTTCAACCTTTGCTCCACTTTCTTCTGGCTTCTCAAACATTTACTCACCAGGAGCTTCATATTCAGTGAAGGTAACTCAGTATTTGCAAAAGCTGAGAACACCAACTCGGAAGTTTGATGTTCACACCCTGACAGGTCATAGCCACCTCTGGCTTGCTCGCTCTTCTGGGATGATGTGTACAAGGTGTGCTAAGTCTTCAGTAACCTTCCCTTTAGGAAACTGTAAGCGAGACCTGGAAAGAAAAGTGCTGCCACCCCTGAGTGTGGTGTACTTGGTTAGTTCTGAAGCCACCAGAGTCCTGGGATTTGAGGGCAAGAAGCTGGTAAGGTCAGAGGTCTCTGCCCCTGCCATGTCCCCATTTCTTAGGAAATGAAACAGAGGCTCAACTACAGTCTTAGTCCCTCGGGAAGCCTGAGGCTGATGCTTTTCTAGGAAGACGCCTTGAGACGCAGAAGAGTGTGGGAGGGCGGGAGTGATGGCTGCCTCTCCCTTTGTTTTTCCCTAGGACATGGCAGCCTCATCTCCCCCTTCCAGTAGGCCACACACCTTTTCCCACCTCTTATCTTCTGGAGAAGCTTGAACCCACTCATTCTAAACCGTCATTGTTCTCTAAACACGGTCAGACCACTGACTTACACATTGAAGGGGTGGAAGTGGAAAGCAGCGGGGGAGGCAGCTAGGAAAATGCTGGAGGTTTTATGAAAACCCCACCACCTTGGACACAGCCAATCTTATCTGACCTTGGATGCTGAACAGCTGGGCCCGTTTCTGGTCTATGGCCCAGGCTGGCCAGCATCGAGGAAACTGACTTAGACAGAAGGACCCCTCCCTCTGTATTAGTCTCTTCAGGAAGCAGCAATGGGATAAAGTGGCTAAGAATCAAAGCACCATCCCGACCAACACAGGGAACAGCCCCTGCACGTCTGATGGACATAGTTTTGTTCTAAAGCATTGCTGGATGAAACAACATGGCCTCTCCACTCAACCACGATGCTCCCGGTAACTTATAGGCATAAGAATCTCCTAGGAGGAGGGAGGACTGGAAAAGAAAGTGGAGAATATCATGCCATCTCCAGCAGCCACAGTCCCTGCAAATCCCACTAAATTGGTTTTAATCTCAGGCATTTCCATTCTAGTCAATGAAGGACTTAGTACAAAGTGGGTGGGCCTGTTACTATGGTAATGGTTTCCAAGTGATGGTCATTACTTGGACCACAGCATTGCTGTCTCTCTCCATCTCTGAGGGCGATGGTAAAAGGGAGGTGGGTTGAACTCCACAGAGAATAATTAGAGCCTACAGAGGTAAGCCAAGTGCCTCGCAGTGTGACCTTGCCAACGTGAGCGGCTCCTGACCTGAGAATCCAGACCGCCTGAGTTTAACCCCCATGTTTTCTCTCCACAAATGCCAGTCTGTAGGGTTTGTTTCTAATAAAAACTTTTACTTTTCTTCCTTATCGCAGATATTAAGACAAAATTATGAAGATTAAGATAAGCAAAAAGAAAACATACTCATAGTTCCCATAATAGAGCTTAGTGTATGTCATCTTTGCTTGGCAACTGTGTGTGCTTAATAAAAAACACAATAAAAATAAAACACTATATATGTCATTGTATAGTGTCCTTCCTCAATTAATACATAGTGACTTAAGTGTATAAATGCACTAATTTCAAAAAATATATTTTTATTGATTTCAGAGAGAAAGGGAAAGGGAGAGAGAGATAGAAACATCAATGATGAGAGAAAATCATTGATCAGCTGTCTCCTGCACGCCCCTCACGGGGGCTGACAACCCGGGCATGTGCCCTTGACCGGAAATGAACCCGGGATCCTTGAGTCCACAGGCTGACACTCTATCCACTGAGCCAAACAAGTTAGGGCTAAATTCACTCATTTTTAATGACTGTCTGGTCTTCATTCATATAGATTAATTATATGTTATTTATTCATGCTCTTGCTGTTAGACATAAAAGTTGTGTCTAATTTTTGACTGTTAAAAAAAAAAAGCCAGTTTAGTAAAATCTTATCATACAATCTTATTTGTTCTGGATAAAGCTCCAAAATTGGGATTTCTGAGTCAAAGATCCATATGTTTTAAGGCTTTTGGATGCATATTGAAAAACCAGCTATCCACACCCACCAGCACTGTATGTCTATTTCTTAAAGGCTCACCAATGCTGATGATAAGCAGTATTTTCTTCTGGTTTGACCATGTTCACATGTAAGCACTTAGGAATACAAAAGAAAATACTTATACTTATCATGATTACTATTAATTTGCATATATAAAGGCCCCCAACTATGCTACATCTGAGGATCCAAAGAGGGACACACATGTCACTTGACCTCAAAGCTCCTCAGAGAAAGAAAACATGTAAACAGAGCAGGAGTACACATTTTAAGATGTTTATATATGGGAGGGGAGAGGGGATACAGAATGTATAATAACATATTGTTCCCAGAACCCTAGCTTTGAGATCATGACTTATGCAATGACACATCCATTGGGAGCACTCCTTTACTGAATTCCTTCTAAGCATGAGGCACTGTGCTAGGTAATTATATAATTTCACAATATCTTTACAGCATCATTTTGTGGGGGGCATTGTTAAGCTAATTCTGAAGTTGAGAAAACTAAGGCATGGGTTAAACTGGCTTGCTTAAGGCCACATATATATGGTAAGCATCTGAGCCAAAAAAAAGGCCATGGAATTCTGCCTAGGATTAGATCAAGGATATCTTTAGACTCAGGAGACTTTACAAATAGATGCCAAACTGTCCTAGTAGAGGAGAGAAAGAATCTGAAGCTCCATGACAAAGCACTTATGGTGAATTTGGTTGGGAGAAAAGCAATTCCTGGAATCCAGGGGGTTGGAAATGGCCCCCTTAGATGAGCCTAAGGCTCAGTAATCCCACTCTGGGGCTTGCTACTGAAGGAAGATGAGTAGAGAATAGTTATCGGCTCTTCTTTTCCTCTTCTCACTTCAGATTATATCAGAGCTTCTCCAACTTTAGTGTAGGTAGGAGTAATGAGTCTGTTAATTGCAGATTTTCAAAGTAAACCCCAGACTGGTTCAGAGGGTCTGGAGTAGGGTCCTGGAATCTGTATTTTTTAACTATCAGAAGAGACTGATGTAGGTGGTCCTTACATCAAGCTCTGAGTGTTAGTGTTCATTCATTAGGCCAGTGGTTCTCAACCTTCTTAATGCCGCGACCCTTTAATACAGTTCCTCATGTTGTGGTGACCCCCAATTTCTTTGTTACAAATTGAACATAATTAAAGCATAGTGATTAATCACAAAAACGATATGTAATTATATATGTGTTTTCTGATGGTCTTAGGCGACCCCTGTGAAAGGGTCGTTCGACCCCCAAAGGGGTCGCGACCCACAGGTTGAGAACTGCTGCATTAGAAGCTTCTCCCTAGTGTCCTAGGCCAGGGTAAGTTAACCCTCTCATAGCCATTAGCTCACTTAGTCTAGAAAAATTATAAGATCAATGTAGTGAGTGATAATTATCATTATTATGAAATCAACATCATCAATCATTGTCATCATCATCATCACCATTATCTAGCATGGAGGAGTGGCTCTCTTTGCCCAGGCATTGTGCTGAATGCTGGACTTGTATGATTTCACTTAATCTTTACCATATTACTTAGGGGAAGACCTCATTATAGTTTAACCCCCATTTTATCTATCAGGAGATGGAGGCATAGGGGAGGAAGTAACAAGTCCTAGGCCACACAAATAATATATGGTGGAGTCAGGATTTCAGCCCAGGCCACACTTGAGTGGTTCCCATAATTCTTAGTTAAGTAGCAGAGAGGAATCCTGGGGCTGGGGGTGAGTGGGGTTCTATGCTTTGCCCAGGACCATAACATTTGTCAGTGGTGTCACTGGATCAACGACCAGGACCTCGTCGATGCCCTGCCCAAGCCTCTTTCTGCAAGACTGCTGCCTCTAGATGTGTTAGGACAGATTCTGAAAAGAAAAGGTTTCTGCTAATTAATGGCACTGGATAGAAACCAAGCTGTGGTCCTCAGGGAACTCTGCACTATCATTTAAGCTCCTGGCATGAGTGGTCAGGAGGCTGAGCCTCTCCGAGTTTTGCAGTGATTCCGGTGTTAGGCACTATCCATGGCTCCCTGGGCAGGTGCTGAGGCCCCACTTGGATCTGGGCTCTGTTTGGGGGTTGCATGCCATGATGCCCACCCAATACTAGTTCTAACACTCTTTGCCAGTGTGTTGGTGACTCGGCTTGAGGCTGCTAAACTCACTGTGGGCTTCCAGGCTCCCTGGAACATCTCCCACCCATTCAGTGTGCAAAGGCTGGGCGCGGGCCTCCAGATTGCCATGGACAAGGTCAACTCAGAGCCCTCGGACCTTGGAAACTTCAGCTGGGAGTTCACTTTTACCAACTCAACCTGCAGCGCCAAGGAGTCTCTTGCTGTTTTCACCAACCAGGTCCAGAAAGAACAGATTTCTGCCTTGTTTGTACCAGTGTGCCCAGAAGCAGCAGAGGTATACAACCTTCTAAAAACTCTGGCTGAGTTTTCATTGTAAGGAGTGGTCTTAAAGATGATGGGACAGATTTGAATAAGCCCTTGACAAAGTTGGCATTATTAAAATAATAATATGTCAGTCTTTAGTGCCATTTTTTTGAGATGTAATTAGACCATGTAATTAAAACAGCCAACATTCTCTTTAAAGAAAGCCTTTCAAATCAATAATTGTAAGTTGATGCTCACTAACAAACTTGTTGACCGTTTGGACTTGGTATCGTTGTAGATAGACTGATTTTTTTATTTTAATGCTGTCAGCCACATGGCTCAGAAAAATTAAGAAGGAAATTAATGCTTGTTTTTTAATTGACAAATATCTTTGTTTGTGTAAGTTTCCCCTTGGTGTGTGTAAGAAATTATTCAGTGTCGGTAAAAGTAAGTGAGAAAGAAGGGAGTAGGACCAATTGTAATAAGCTGGGCAAGAAACTGAGAGACACCAATGACTTGTAACTGTTTAGCTAATGGGATTAATTTTGTGGAAGTCCTTGGGTAGCTCATGATTAGGTGTTGATGCAAAGCCTAAATAGAAAGGAGCATCACAATTCTCACTCTCACAAATACTGTGGAACTATCATTAGTGGGTGCTGTAGAATTAAGTTCATGTTTTAATTGGAATTTTGTTTTCTCCTGAAATTCCCTATTTGACACACACTGTCCAAAGCCTACCCATTTTTCACAGTCAAGCTCAAATGCCATTCTTCACCTCTCCATCCTCACCTCTATATCCCTAGTTCCCAAATCAAAAGTAATTTCTTACTTTTCTAAACTCTTATAAATCTATTGTCTATAGTGAATGGTATATTGAACTCTAGTAGCTATTTTTGTATGTCTTAGATCCTGTAATAGACCATAAACTCCTTTAAGAGCAAGGTCTGAAAAAATGAATGAGAAATGAATAAGGAACAAATTAAGAAAGAAACACTAAGAGAATGAATAGTAGCTATGACTGTGGGCTCTGGATCCATACTGTCTGTATTCCAATCCTGCTCTTCTATTTGTTAGCTTTGTAACTTACATCTCTGTGTTCCTATGTTTTTCATCTATAAAATAGGGTAATGATAAAACCTACCTCATAGAAATATTGTAAGAATCGAGATGATATGTGTAAGAACTTAGCAAAGTGCTTGGCACATATATCATCGTTATTCTTGTCCTCTGAGGTCTTGCATACTCACGTTGGCTACAAGACATTATCATCAATATTCCAAAAGACAGGCTTCAGCATGACCCATGGAGTCACTGAATTAAAAATTTATGCAGATATCTCACAATAGGGTTTGAGTATAGCATAAACTCAATTATGAAAAGTCATCCTTTTGATTACTTTCAAGGTTATTGGTTTGCTGGCTTCTGAGTGGAATATCCCCATGTTTGACTTTGTTGGACAAACAGCAAAACTGGAGAACGACTCCTTGTATGACACCTATGTGAAGCTTGTGCCACCCCTGCGTGAACTTGGTGATGTGCTCCAGAAAACTCTCCAGTACCTGGGCTGGAAACACATTGGGATGTTTGGAGGTCACTCTGGGACTTCCTCCTGGGATAGAGTGGGTGAGCTGTGGAGGGCTGTAGAGAATGAACTCAAACCCCATTTCACCCTCACTGCCAGGATCAGCTACAGCAACAATGATCCAGCCCTCCTGCAAGAAAATCTTAGGTACATGTCAGCAACTGCCAGGGGTAAGTAGAAAAGAGTCTTCTATTGCTTATGTTTGGAGAGACAAATAGAAAGAGCAGGTAGAAACCCTTTATTTTTCTTTGGGTGTAAAAAGCAGATAGAAACAGGATACAAAGATAATGATACGTAAAAACAATTTTCCTTTTGGGTCAACATCACTATCACCAACTATTTTTAATCTAAAGTGAAATCCCATATGCTATAGTGTTATGATTCAACTACAGGCCCAATGCACAAAAATTTGTACAAGAGTAGGCCTTCCTTCTCCCAACTGCCAGCACCGGCTTCCCTCCGGCACCCGGGACCCGGGCTGCTTCCCTCTGGCCCCGGCTTTGTCAGGAAGGACATCCAGAATGACGTATGGTCTAATTAGCATATTACCCTTTTATTATTATAGATGACTAAGCTCTGGAAGCATCTTCCAGGTGGGTTGGGTCCTGGACTTGGGCTATTGTTCAGAGCATGGGCTCTGGGGAAAGACAGCCTAAGTTTGGAACCAACCTCTAATACTTTCTAGCTGTGTGATCCTGGGCAAATACCTTTACCTCTCTAGGCCTCAGATCCCTTATCTGGAAAATGAAGATAGTCATCAACTCCTACCTCATAGGAAAGTAAGGATTGCATAAGGTCATGCCTGTAAAGTCCTTAGCACTGTGTCTGGACATAGTAACTGGGCCACATATGATATCAATTAGTTTTGTTGTGGTGTTTATAAGGCTCTATTTTCTCTTTTAAAAAATGTTTTTATTGCTTTCAGAGAGGAAGGGGGAAGGAGAGAGAGAGAGAGGAACATCAATGATGAGAGAGAATCATCAATAGGCTCCCTCCTGCACGCTCCCTATTGGGGATTGAGTCCACAACCTGGGCATGTCTCCTGACTGGGAATTGAACTGTGGGTCAATGCTCAACCACTGAGCCACAACGGCCGGGCATAAGACTCTATTTTCTAGCTGGATTAGTACATGACTCCTTTCTGTTCTTTAATAAACTAAGCCTTTCTAGCCTTGGCACTTTAGGACTTGCTGATCTAGGCCTGCAGTGCCACCTGCAACCCCGTTACCCCTCCTCTTCCCCCCATGATTCACTGGTATACTGTCTGCCTGACTGTCAGCTCCCTGAGGGCAGGGGCCTTCTGTCTTGCTCATCACTGTATCCTGTCCTTAATTAACACAGTACTTGGCACATGGTTGGAACTCAGATAAGTACATTATAATTTACCTCATTCATTTCATTTGTGTGTCCTCACAATGCATGCTGATGTGTTTGAATGGAAGAAAAGTACCATGGCCTCCCTCTTCCCCTTCCCCCATTCCAACTAGAAAGTCTGGGTGCTCCTGATTCTAGGTCCTCCTTCAACTTTTCCTGTGTAGCTGGTGATTAACAAGCCAGATCTGTTGTTCAGAGCCAATGAAACAGAGAAACAGGAGCATCGAAGTGGTCTTAACCTTTTTGACTTGTATTTTTGGAGAGAACTGCAGCTAAGACTTTAGTTCATAGGGTAAAACTGCCAGTGGGTACGCTGCTGGTGCTATATTCTGGGGATAGTTTCGACGTCCTCTTTCCCCGAAGCATGCTTAGGGAAAGAAAAAGTTCATGTCTCATTGGGAGCAGTTTCAGGCCAGAGTTTAAAAAGCATATGATCATGTGCAATTGGCTGACTCTGTGTTTTTTTCCTCTTATAGTTATTATCTTAATCTGCAGCTCAGAGGATGTGAAAACCATTCTGCTGGCTGCAGAGAACCTGGGACTCCACACAGGAGAATTTGTCTTCGTCGTTTTGCAGCAGTTGGAGGTGGGTGCCAATGACCCCCGAATGGCTCCTACAAGAGGTAATGAGTATGGAGCGCTGGCTATGTGCCAGATGCGTTAGCTCACTGAAGACTCACCACAACCCTAAGAGGCAGGCACTCTTGTGCCCTCATCCTAAAATTGGGAGACTGGGCCTGAGCTAGAAGAACTTACCCAGAGTTCTCTTGCCCACTTAGTGAGTGGTTGATTCAGGCCTTGGTAGACTGTCAGCCCACACCAGCTGAGGAGGAATTGTCACTCTTAGCATGTAGCTGAGACCCTGCCTAAGGACTCTCAAATATAGGTGGCTCCCATTTTTCATGGCCACCTCCCTGTGTCTCTGTTGGGAGTCCTAAGAAAGGTCTGGAGAGACCAACATACTGGTGGGTGAGGCCATTCTTGGGTGATTTGGTTCTTTTGGTCATGATAGGAATGGCTAAAATGTACCATGTGCCTCCCGTGAGGAATGAGTTACACATTTTACATGCACTGTTGCACTTAATATTCCCAAGAGCCTTGTAAGGTAGATCTTATCAGTATTCCAAATTACAGATAAAATATTGAGGTTTAGAGAAGTAAGATACTTTATTCAAGATCTCAGAGCTCCTGAGGAGCATAGCTGGTCTTCCAAACCAGGTCTTCTGGACTCTGGGACAGAGCCCTTTGAGCACTTGAGATGCTAAAACTCATGTCAGCTGACACCACTCTGTGGGGAGATACTTTTATTTTCCGTGTTTTACAGATGAGAAAACCGGGGCCCTGAGAGGTAAAATAACTTGCCAAAGGCCACATGACTAGTAAGAGGGAGAGCTGGTATTCAAACCCCGGGGGCTGGCCTCAGAGTCTGTACATTTAAACACCACTCTACACTAGCAGGCTTCTGGCAAAAGCCACTTGCACTTAGATAGGGACACACTGTGTAATTTTCCCAGTGGTTTTATCTTCCTAAAATGAGCTTTTGAAAATGATCCTAAGAAGTTGAAATTGGGCAAAAGAGTAAAGGAAGATATATCACAATGTTCCAGATTTCTTTTATCTTTTTAATTTTACTCTTTAATTACAGTTGACATTCAATATTATTTTATACTAGAGGCCTGGTGCATGAAATTTGTGCACTCAGGGGGTGGGAGGTGTCCGTCAGCCCGGCCTGCACCCTCTCTAGTTCAGGAGCCCTCAGGGGATGTCCAACTGATGGCAGTTGGACATCCTTAGCGCTGCCGCGGAGGCAGGAGAGGCTCCCGCCACCGCCGCTGCACTCACCAGCTGTGAGCCTGGCTTAGGGCTTCTGGCTGAGTGGTGCTCCCCCTGTGGGAGTGCACTGACCATCAGGGGGCAGCTGCTGTGTTGAGCGTCTGCCCCCTGGTGGTCAGTGCACGTCATAGTGACCGGTCATTCCACCGTTTGGTCAATTTGCATATTAGCCTTTTATTACATAGGATTAGTTTCAGATGTATAGCATAAAAGTCAGACAATTATATAATTTACAAAGTGATCCCCCTGATAATTCTAGTACCCACCTCGCACCATACATAGTTAATACAATATTATTATGTTCCCTATGCTGTATTTTACATCCCCATGATTATTTTGTAACTACCAATTTGTACTTCTTAATCCCTTTACCTTTTCCATCCAGCGCCCACCCCCTACCCCCAATCTGGCAACCATCGGTCTGTTTTCTGTACCTATGAGTATGTTTCTGTTTTGTTTGTTCATTTATTTTGTTCTTTAGATTTCATATATAAGTGAAATCATATGGTATTTGTCTATCTCTGTCTCACTGATTTCATTTAGCATAGTATCCTCTAGGTCCATCCATAATTTCACAAATAGTAAGATTTCATTATTTTTTTTATGGCCCAGTAATTGTCCATTGTATACATGTACCATCACTTTTTTATCAACTTGTCTATTAATGGGTACTTAGGTTGCTTTCATATCTTGACTATCCTATATAATAATAGAGGAATATGCAAATTGTCCAGGATGCTGTCACAGTAACAGTAATGACCGAACAGCAGGCTGCGTGGGGCGACCAAGACGGCAGGGGGGTTAGTGAGGGATGACCAAATGACTGAACAGCAGGCTGCATGGGGCAACCAGGCTGGCAGGGGGGCAGTTAGGGGCGACCAGGCCAGCGGGGGGGGGGGGGGCAGTTAGGGGTAACCAGGCCAGCAGAGGGGGGCAGTTGGGGGTAATCAGGCTGGTGGGGGGGACAGTAAGGGGTGACCAGGCCAGCAGAGAGGGACATTTGGGAGTGACTAGGCCGGTGGGGGGGTGGGGGGGACAGTTGGAGGTGACCAGGCCAGCGGGGGGGGGGGGTAGTAAGGTGTGACCAGGCTGGTGGGGGGGGGGTCTTAGGAGTGACCAGGATGGCAGAGGGGGGGCAGTTGGGGGCGACCAGGCCGGCAGGCGGGGCAGTGAGGAGCCAGCAGTCCTGGACTGTGAAAGGGGGTATCCCTCGAGGGGTCCCAGATTGGAGAGGGTGCAGGCTGGGCTGAGGGGACCCCCACCTCCTGTGCACGAATTTCGTGCACTGGACCTCTAGTTGTAAATAATAACATAGGTGTGCATATATCTTTTCAAATTATGGTTTGGATTTCTTCAAATATATACTCAGAAGTGGAATTGCTGGCTCATAATTTTTAATTTTTTTAGAAATCTCCATATTATTTTCCACAGTGGCTGCACCAGTCTGCATTCCCACCAACAGTGCATGAGGGTTTCCTTTTCTCCACATCCTTGCCAACAATTACCATTTGTGAAAATGTTGATGATAGCCATTCTTATAGGTGCGAGGTGTCATCTCATTGTAGTTTTAATTTGCATTTCTCTGGTGATTGGTGATGTTGAGTATCTTTTCATATGGCTATTGGACATCTGTATGTTCTCTTTGAAAAAGTATCTCTTCAGGTCTTTTTCCCACTTTTTAATTGGAATTGGATTTTTTTGGGAGGGGGGTTGGTGTTGAGTTGTATGAATTCTTTATAAATTTTGTAGTGTCAGCTGTCATTTCTCTTCTTTCATTTCTGATTTTATTTATTTCTTTTTTTATTTATTTTTTTTCTTTCTTTTTGGTGAGTCTGGTTAAGGCTTACCAATCTTGTTTATCTTTTTTAAAAAATCAGCTCTTGGTTTCATCAATCTTTTGTATTGTTCTTTTAAACTCTGTTTATTTTTGCTCTGATCTTTATTATTATTTTTTTCTACTCATTTTAGGCTTTGTTGTTCCTTTTTTAGTTCCTTTATGTATAAACTTAGAATGTTTTATTTGAGATTTTTCTTGTTTCTTGGGGTAGTCCTGTATTGCTATGAATTTCCCTGTTAAGGCTGCTTTCACTGTACCATAGATTTTGGTTTGTTGTGTTTTCATGTTCATGTTCCTCAAAGTATCTTTTGATTTCTTCCTTGATCTCATTGCTAACTCGTTCATTGTTTAGGAACATGTTATTTAGCTTCCATGTGTTTGTGTGTTTTTCAGGATGTTTTTTTTTTTCTTGTAATTGGTTTCTAGTTTCATATCATTGTGGTCAGAGAAGATGCTTGATATGATTTCTTCTTAAATTAATTTTGACTTTTTAAAAATATGTATATTTTATTGATTTTACAGAGGGAGAGGGAGAAAGACTTCAATGATGAGAGAGAATCATCGATTGGCTGCATACCCCTCAATGGGGATTGAGCCTTCAACCCAGGCATGTGCCCTGACTGAGAATGGAACTGTGACCTCCTGGTTCATGGGTCGATGCTCAAACACTGAGCCATACCACCTGGGCAATTTTGACTTGTTTTTTGTTCTAACATGTGGTCTATTCTAGAGAATGTTCCATGTACACTTGATATTTATTTATTTATTTTTATTTCATTTATTGGCTTTCTTCTCACTGCTTTGATGCCAGCTAGAAAATGTGGGCCTTTTGAAGGCAGGCCTTCTGGAGTCATTGTGTTGCCCAGGATTAGGATGTAGAGATTCAATTTCAACCATGACTTAACACATTTCTATGCCCAGTGTATATCCCACAGAATGACTACACTGATTTCATTATATTGCAGGACAGTTTTTGGAAGGAGGTATTAACAAATCAGAATGGGACACACTTCCCCACCATCTATGAGTCTGTGCTTGTCATCACCCCCAGCTCTTCCGGAGAAGGTCCTGAAGAGGAAGGCTTCCGACAAGAAGTCTACCAGAGGCTGAGGGGGCCACCTTTCCACAGCTCCATCTCTGCAGAGGAGCAGGTCTGAGATAGGGTCTCTCTGCAGAGGTCCCTGCCTTCCCTTTTCTGAGGATATTTGTGTTTGGCTTTAATATTCTCCCTCTTACTTCTCCTCTTCATTACCCCCAGTCCCTGCTGCCTTCCCCCCACATACTTCCTCATCCTCCACAGCTGAGCATAAACAGTGCTGTCTTATGAAGTCTGCACCCCAGGACTACAGAGGAGGACAGAGGTTATTGGGTTACTGAATGGCTTTTGGAGTCAGAGATCTGGGCTCCATCCTAATGCTACTATTTACTAGCTGTGGGACCTTGAGATGAATTTCTTAACCTCCCTACACCTCCGTCTCTTCACGTGAAAAGTGGGACTGATAATGACATCTGCCTCCAGTCTTGGTTTTGAGTATCTAATAATATAGCACATAAAAGTAATAGAATAGAAACCAGTAGTACTCAGACCATGACAATGTCCTTCCCTTTCCCAGGACTGAGAACCTGAATGGAGCAGTCAGAAATGTAGAGCTAGAACAGGTCAAGGCAATCAGATGGTCTGGAACAGGGAAAAGTCAGGAGAGAGAGGATAAGCCAATGGGTAGTCCAGTGTGTGTTGGCTGATGAGGCAAATGTCTGATGCCCACAGAGAATTTGTTACAGAGAGACCATGGGCCAGAGCTGGAGCTACTTCCTGTGACAGGTCACTGATGACAGGGGTTCCATTAGGAACAAGGTAGCCGATTGTGGATCCTAACACACAAGGAAATATGACCAATCAATGAATATTTGGGAAATTGTCTACTAAGTGTTAGCTTTGTACCTACCTTATAGTGGGCACTTGCATGTTTGTTGGCTAAATGAACAGACAAGAACATGTATTAAAGACCTACTATGTGGCAGGTAGCACAATAAGTAGAATATCTATCCTGCCTCATTAAACTGTGTTTCTACTCACCAGGACAGTGGCTTTATCCCCATTTTATAAATAAGAGAGGTGAGATTCAGAGAGGTAATAGAACGTACCCCCAAATTTCATAGCCAGTAAGTAGAAAAGCCAGTCTCGCTCCAAAATCTACCTGCTTTCAATTAAACCATATGCCCACCCACCTATAGCCTAAAGAGATCATGTGATCTAATTGGGAAAAGGAGCCTAAAGAGGAAAAGTGAAGATAGTGATATCCAGATTTAATAGCCCAAGTTCGGGCATGCAGCGGGTTCTCCCCTTGCAGTGGAATGGATGGAGAACGTGTTATACTATTAAGATGGTGGAGAGAAATTCCTCCTGAGACATGGGCTGTGACTCAGGAAGCCGTGGGCCTATTGAAACCCAGTATTTGCTTCCCTCCTTGAAGGTGAGCCCTTACTCTGCCTACCTTCATGACTCGGTCCTGCTCTATGCTCAGACTGTGAAATTCATGATCAAGGCTGGAAGAGATTTCCGGGATGGACGGCAGCTGGTCAGCACTCTGAAAGGTTTTAATCAGACCACATTGCAGGGTAAGTGGCTTGATCGCAGGGGTGGAGGGTGGGTGGGTCAGAACTCAGGCCTGCCTCTCCTGTCAGTGGGGCTCTGAGAGGTTGAACATGTGGTTTAAGGCCTCATTTAGGGCCTGCCTCACACTGAGTTACAGATTTCCTCTTTCTCATGGAGATTCCAGTCTTCCAGAAGGGGCTGGGGGCGGGGAGGGGGGGAACGGGGGCGGTTGAGGTTAAACCTCCCAGCGGCCACAGTCCAGCTCTTCCAGCTTTACACAAAAGGCTGCCCAGTCCAGCTGAGGGGATCTCTGGGGCATCTTATCCCTTCCTCCTCCCAAGAAAGTCCCTCCCACAACTGCTTTCAAACTGGTCCACCAAGAATAAAGCTCAAGAGAGTGGGACCTGCCTCGGGGTTACTTCCATGCTCCTTCCCATGCCATCCCTCCACCTCTAAAGATGGGGCCAATCCCATTTGACTTTCCTTGTCAGGGCGAGGATAGGCTTGGACTTGGACGTGAACTGTTTTGAAATCACCCTGGGAGCTGATCAACTGTGTCATCTTTCTGTACTCCAGTTTTTTCATTTTGTAAGACACAGATAATACCTCCTGCCACATGGAATAATAGTAGCCAGCATTTGTTGAGGGCTTACCTTAAAGCAAGCTGGGTGCCAAGAGCTTCTGCATGCTATCCCACTTAATCCTCACACATGCCATCAGTTAGTAGTACTGTTACTACCTGTATTATATTACACAGGTGAGTAAACAGGTGTACTTGTCCAAGATCACAAATTTACTACAGGACGTGCTCATTCAATGGTGGCTGCCTATTTAGGGGTCTTGACTCCACGCCCTGCTTGTTAGGAGTGGATGATGGCCCCTGCTCTGCAGGGTCCCCTGGGACTAGGTGTGTGAAATCACTGCGACCCCCACATGCCGGCACATAATAGGTGCTTAATAGATGGTAATTGTGTGTCCTGTCCCGAGGGAGAATAAATCAGCAGTAAATCCTGTGTCAGACCACGGGCTCTAGTTTGGGGTGTGGAAGAGCTGAACTTGACTCCTCCAGGATCTCGGATGTGTGTTTTATGCATGAGGTTGACCACATCCTACGTGAGAACAAAGAACCCAGGGACCAGGACTGAGCGCCAGGCCAATGCCTGGGCACAAACCAAAACCGGGAGGAAAGGGGAGAACAAAACTTGAAAAGTCAGCCCACAGGGCCTGCAGGTGGGAAGGAGGAGGATTGTAGCACCTGGAGGAGGCAGCTGTCCCCAGTCCCAGCAGTTGCCTCCATGTTATTTGGCCTTTTTTGATTGCATCTGATTGTTCTTAGGAAGCATAAATCTTGGGTTTCAGTTGGAAACTTTTTTTAAAAAAAGCATAGGCTTAACAGAACACATCTGCCTGTCCCAAGCGGCCCTTGAGCCCCACCAAGGTACCACCACTGAACTTTTCCCCCCCCACTCTCCTCCTTGACTCTCTCTCAGATTCCCTGAAACGGCAAAAACCTCACACTGCTTTTGGTGGCTGCTGGGGAGGAAGGGGGCTTGGCTGGTCTGAGTTCGAGTCACGAGTCCCTCTTTTTCTCTCCTTAACCACTTGCAGTCTCCTCTCTTTTCAGGAGTCACTGGCCCAGTGTTTGTGGACTCCCAGGGAGAAAGATGGGTGGATTACTCGGTCTATGCCCTACAGAAATCCAGCAACGGGTCCCTCTTCCTTCCTGTTCTTCACTACGACAGCCATCAGAAAGAAATCAGGTACTGGGGGGGCATTTCTTCGAGTTTAGAGCATGCTGCAGGAAGAGACCTGGGAGGCGAGGGGGGCTGGGGGCCTCGCTGGAAGACCAGTTTGGGATCCAGCTCCTAGAATCCACTGCACATGGCCTGGTGCGCTCTGAACTTATAAGGATTGACTTTGGGTCTTTAAGGTGATCTTGCCCTTGATTGTGGGAGTAGCTCAGCCACTTCCGATTCCTCACAATATCTAACCGCACCTCTGCAGGGGCCCAGGCTTCCTCTGCTGCTCCAGCAGGGAACATCACCTGGCCCATGGTCTCAGAGAGAGGCCCTGGACCAGGTGGTAGTGGAGCACAGCGCCCCCTAGAGGGATGGGAGCTCAGTCAGGGAAACAGACTCCTCCAGTCAGCCTGACCCCAAAACAGAGAGCCCTATAGACAGCACGACCTGGGAACCCCTGGTACCCAGGAAGCTCTGGAAAAAGTCTCTGTTTTCATCACTCAGCTATAATTGAGAAAACGGAAAGGAAACCTAAAGCTTAATTCAATTTCTACCGGCCTCCACCGTCACCACCCCCAATGCAGATTTGATTTGACACGTTTTCCTCTCCTACTCTTAAGGATTTTTAATGTATCAAAATGGGTTGGCCCAGGAAAGAAACTAACCACGGAGGACTAGGTCTTCAGGATTGTGGAAACGGGCATTCTCCACGCAGGGGGAGACGTTTTGCTCTGTGAAATGTCAAGGTGCTGTATAACAAGATTTGTTTATATCAAACACGAGAGAGAGTCCCAGCAACACTGGAGAATTGGCACAGCATCTTTTAAATCAGAAATGACATGGTTTACATCAAAAGATTGAGTCAGTGGTTCTACTCTGCAAATAGATATTGCTTTTCCATGAATTAGATTACCTGGAGGCTGGATTTGAAGAGCCTGGGTGAGGTGGGAAAATTGGATGGGTCAGTGGACATTTGAATTGAGAGACCAAGGCCTACTTTTTGCAAATGACATGTGTATTTCATTTGCCCTTGCTATACCTGAGGTTGAGACAAATAGAATAAATCAAATGGGCACTGGCCTTCAATCATCTTTTTTTTTTTTTTTTTTTAAGACCCGTGAGGAATTTCTCCACTATTACTTGGCCCCATGGCTCGCTTGCTGCAGACAGACCTGGCTGTGGATTTGACGATGAGCTCTGTGAAAGCGAGCTTGCTTTTACAGGTCAGTGTGGGCTCCTGGAGAAGGTAGCAGGAAAGGACTCTCCATAGCAGGGCTTTCAATAGTGACAGCACTATTGACATGTTGGGTGGGATAATCTTTGTTGGGGGGGGGGGGGGACTGTCCTGTGCTTTGGGGGCTGCTTAGAAGCATCCCTGCCTCCACCCATTAGATGCCAGTGGTAGCCTCTAGTTGGAACCACCCAAAGTATCTCCACATGCTACCAATATCCCCTAGGGAGGCGACATCACCCACCGCCTGCCCTGTTAGGAACCTCTGCTCTAGGGAAACCCAGCTCCTGAGATTTGAAGCTCAGGAACTTCATTCTAAGGAGGTAGAAAGTCTGGACAGGGGAGTGTTGCCTGATGGTTAGGGGTCCAGCCCTGGAATTAGATGGATCATACCTGAGAAACAACCATGAGGAAAGGACATAGCAAATGCTTAATAATAACATGTGGTGGTGGTATTAGAAATCCTGACTGTTATTTCTGTACAATGAAAGTGTCTATACAGAGGAAGAAGTGAGTGCAGTTGCCATGGGAACCAGAGGAAGGTCAGAAAGCATTCCTGGAAGAGCCATGCCGAGGTGGCCTTTGAGGCATCTGCTTGGCAGTGCCAGGCTGGACAGGGATGTTCTCACTTCCGCTCTCGGGCAGCCTGAGTAATGATATGTCTGTGTCCCCCAGGTGTGACTGTTCTGATTCTCCTGATGACCTTCCTGGTCACTGTCTTGGGAGCTGCCATCATAGGCCTGATTTTAAGGGTCCAGAAGGGAAAACTGCAGAGGCAAAATGGAGACATTTGGTGGCAGATCGATTATAACGCCATCACTATTCTGCCCCAGGACAAGGTAAGGCCACACCTGGCCCAGACGTCCACTTCCCTGCTAACTTCTGGTGATCTGTGGAAGGGACCTCCTCCAAGGAGCTTATGAGAACAGAGGCCGACTCATTTATAAAGTGAGCACTTAACAGAGAGTCTCAGGCCCCGAGTTCTGGCTCTAGGCCTACCGTTTCCTTGCTGAATATCTGGGAACATCATGTCTGGCCTCAGTTACTGAATACTTAGAATGATCAGGTGGTCCCTAAAGTTCCCTTCAGATCTGTTACCCTGTGGTGTAAGCTCAAATATTAAAGCTGTTTTATGGAAAGCATCTAGTTATCTTCAGAACCACATTAACTCCTGGATGTGTCCTGTCTTCCAGCCAGCCCGGAGGGGCACACCTGTGCTGAGAGAGAACAGCCACGGGTCTAGTGTGAAGATTTCCGGGGACTTCAGCTCCTTTGTCCAGAGTCAGCAGGGGGAAGCGCTCTTTCACGCCCCAGTAGGGCTTTACGAGGTACTTCTGAGAGCAAGGCAGCTGCATGAGGGTGTGTCTCTGTCCCATTCTCTGCATGTCCCTTCTGCCCGGGCATTCCGCATAGGAGGGATTCTCCAGGTAAACGCCAGGTAGCCTTCTGACTCCAGACTCGTGTTTCTCAACCTTAATGTGCCTATGAATCATTGGAGGCTCTTGTTAAGATGTGGGTTCTGGCCCTAGCCGGTTTTGCTCAGTGGATAGAGCTTTGGCCCCTGGACTGTAGGATCCCAGGTTCGATTCCAGTCAAGGGCATGTACCTGGGTTACAGGCTCGATCCCCAGGCCCTGGTTGGGGTATATGTGGCATCAATGTCTCTCTCTCTCTCTCTCTCTCTTCCTCTCTCTCTCTCTCTCTCTCTCCCCGTCCCTTCTACTCTCTCTAAAAATCAATGGAACAAATATCCTCAGGTGAGGATTAACAACAACAAAAATTGCAGCTTCTGGTTCAGCAGGTCTGGGGCAGGGCCTGAGATGCTGCATTTTCTCGAACGAACTCCCTGGAGGTCCCTATGCTGGCTTCTATGTTAGACTCATTTTTGCCAAATAGAACTTTCTATGAATATAGTAATAGTCCAAATTGCCTCAATCCAGCATGGTAGCCCTTACCATCATGTGACTAAAACATGAGTGTGACTGGGGAACTGAATTTTAAATTTTATGTAATTTTTATGCAATTTGGCATCATAGAGGTAGTGGCTATATTATTGGACAGTATAGTCCTAGAGCATGGGTTCTTTCATTTCTGGTACTTCAGCACTGATGGATCAGTCATGGGTATGGATGCTTCTACATATAAACCGGCAGCTACCAAAGCTGGCAGCATAGTTCCGCCTGCCCCCCCCCTCACCCTCTCTACCATACCACCGTGGCTGTCTGTGCCAGGCACTGAGTTAACAGTGTTCACATATTTTCAGATTTAATCCTCACAACAGCCCTGATTATTTTTAATCTTTGTTGCACAGATGAGGAAATAAAGGCTTGGGAAGGTTAAATCCCTTGCTCGAGGTTATGTAGGTAGTAAGTGTTAGAAATGATCTTTGAACTGGTATTGACTCTTATGACCTCTGCTCACGATTCCTCTGAATGATAATGAGACGCTGTTGTATAATAGAAAAAGTGTAGTGTGGAATCAGATGTCCCCATTCTGGCTGAACTCCCCACAAATGTGTGACCTTGGACGGGTTACCTAACGTCAGTGATCCCATCTGGGAGTGGGCTAATCATCCCCACGCTGCAGGACTGCGATGCCAGTTCGATGAGTTCTTGTGCTGAGCAGTTGGCTCAGCGCCTGGAACTAGCACAGTGCCACGCTAGGGCTGCTTTGGGCAGTGAGGAGGTTCATGATCCTTTTCCTAGGCTGACTTCTTCTTCCCAGTCTTCCTGCCCCGCCCCCCCCCCCCCCCCCCCCAGTTCTTTCTGAGTAGAGCTTTTTCTGGATCATCTTGAGTTAGAACATTCCGCTTTGTCTCTGGTTCCAGGGAAACCATGTGGCCATCTGCTATGTTGGTGACCAAGCAGAAGCCAGGATCAGGAAGCCATCTGTGCTGCAGGAAATCCGGCTGGTGAGGTCCCCACCCTGGGAGGAGACAAAGCGGCGCTGTTCTCAGACCCTCCTTGCCAGCTTCCTGTTCCCACCTGGAGTGGGCGTGGCCCCAGTCCAAAGGAGCATGGGTGGAAAGCAGCTTCCCCTAACTTGGCCCACCCCCCTCACCCCTGACAGCCCAGACTTTGGACCTAAGACTTTTTGGCCTGACTCAGGCACCCCCCGCCTGGGATCCTTCCTAGCCTTGCTCATTTCCCTTAATTCTCCCGGACTTTAATTCTGCATCTTCATTCTTTGTACCTGTAATGGCTGCTCACCTCCCTTGAACCTGGTCCTCGGAGGAAGTCAAGTTCATGGGGTCTGACTTCTTACTGCAAATCTGTGATCCACTGTGGCCCACACACTGGCATTGACAGCTATCAACGCCAGGAAACAGGGCTGGGTCTATTTACTGTGACGTGATTTCACTTAATGGCCGGGCTAAGGTTCAACTTTGATCATTCCTCTTGTTTATATGCTGGAGGCAGACTGCCTGGATTTGCTTCCCAACTCTGCCACTAGCAAGTGGTATGATCTTCAACATGTTACTTAACCTTTTGAGCATTAGTTTCCTCATCTGTAAAATGGGAGCAGGTATATAGTTCTCACCTCACAGGGTCTTTGTGAGAATTAACTCAAAGTATGTAAAGCACGTAGCATAGTCCCTAACACAGAGGGCATACTATAATCATAAGCTATTATTACCATTATTATTTTCAGGTGTATGAATTAAGGCACGAAAACATTGTTCCCTTCTTTGGTGTCTGCACAGAACCTCCCAACATCTGCATTATCACTCAGTATTGCAAAAAAGGGAGTCTTAAGGTAAGTACAATAGGAAATCTTACCTTAGGTTTAGTTAGCAGCAGCTATTGAAGAACTTTCAGTGCTTTTGCTCCTTCATCCAAGAACAGTTCCTCTCTATTCTAATTGCAAGACCTGAGTTATCCTGTTGGGCTGCCTGCAGGGGATCGGCTTAGCAGTGGAGTTGCCAAGTACCTGGCTTCCTTTGTTCTGGACGGAAAGGGGCTGGGCTTGGTTTTGTCTCCTTAGCTGTCACAGCTACTCCTGAATTGCATTTCTGGGCCCATACTACCTATGGTATGTGACCGTCCCCTTTATGTCAAGAACAAGGAAGTGTTTATAAAACTCAAGACTGCGTAACTTTCTCACTATTGAGTCAGGTGATGATATTTCCTGGAGAATTTTTTGGCTCTGTGTCAGGCTGTATGAGTTCTGGTCAAAATCATCCAATGTAGACCTAGCGGGTTTGTCTGAGTGGATAGAGCGTCAGCATGTGGACCAAAGGGTTTCAGGTTCGATTCTGGTCCAAGAGCACATACCTTTGTTGTAGGCTCCTCAGGCCTGGTGGGGGCTCATGCAGGAGGCAACCAATTGATGTGTTTCTCTCACATCGATGTTTCTGTCTTTCCCTCTCTCCCTAAAAATCAACAGGAAAATATCATTGGTTGAGGATTAACAACAACAACAAAAACCATCCAATGTAATAGAACCAAACCCATTTAACATATGAAGCTCACTGCTCCAGGTTGAATCCCTGGTGCCATTTTAAATAACTGTTTTTCAGGATGTTTTGAGAAATTCAAATAATGAAATGGATTGGATATTCAAGCTCTCATTTGCATATGACATAGTCAATGTGAGTATAACATAAGTTTATGTAAAGAACAAATACCATGGTGTTTTTGAATTGTTCTGTGTCTTAGATTAAATCAAACTGTAATCTTTCCCAAAGGTTCAGGTCGTTCTCAGATCTCCTCTTCAAAGTGATCCCACTTCTAAAATCTACCACTTCAATCAGATTTCCCATTTTTCTCTCTCTCCCTGACCTCAAGTAAATATCAAGAGAGTAAAAAATATTTTATACTAAAGTCAGAAGGGATGCTACATTTACCCAACCAGGAAAGAGCTGGGTACTTACATTTTAGGACAGAACTTTTTGCCCAAAGAAAATCTAATTACTAGATCATAAAGCAAGCTGAAGGATTCCTAATACTACTTCCTTTTTCCTAGTCCCCGATTCTTAATAATACTTCCTTTTTCCTAGTCCTGGTTCCTTTCCCCAGAAAATGGGGATCAGTGCCATCATAACCACAAAGCTGTTATACAGGGGGTGCAAATCTGTGAATTTATATATACAGGCAGAATTTTTACTTTGGGCAAAGGGGGCTGAGGTGGCTGTAAAAAGGGTGATGATGATGATAATAATAATGGCTAAAATATACTTAGTGCTTTCTTTGGCCCCAATACTTTCTAGCATTCTGTATATATTAATTTACTTAAGTTTCACAACAAAAAATAAGGTAGATCTATTATTAGCCCCATTTCACTGATGGGAGATAAGTCAGATGGGTCAGGTCATTATGTACCTGAGGCTGATGTTCTCACCCTGAGCTAAAATACAGCTGTTCTTTCTAAACTCGCTGCATCTGTTTTATCGTAAGAGAGGACCAAGTCAACGACCTGGGGTTGGGTTCTGGCGAGGAAGCCCCTCAGTCCGACAACCAGCAGGGCTGGCTGGTCATCATCTCTCAATCAATAGTCCATCCATCAACTAATAGATTCCTGTGGGCAAGACCCGGCCTGGTGTTGTGAGGGATACAAAGGTGAAACAAAAACTCTGTCCTTCTGGAGTATAAGGCTGTGACTCCTTGAGTGACTTTGACTTTTGGTCCCTCTCTGGACCTCAACCTCCATATGGGTTAATGGATGAGGTTGGTCTGTTGACATCCAAAGTCTTTTATTTCTCAGGGATTTAATTGCTCTTTGTTTAAGGAGCTGAGTCTTAATGGTCTGTGAGATTTCGATTTCCTGGGCCTTAATGGGAAGCAAGTTAGACAAACAGAAACCTTGTTGGTTTCCTTGTGATTGGGTCTCTATGGGCAACACTGGGCCAACACTGTTATTTCAGTAAACTTTATTGAGCATCTTTTAATGATTTATCTCCCTCTGGGCACTTTTGTAAGAAAATAACGACTTGTTTCTAATTTTAAATGGCATAAAAATCTAGCTAGAGGAAAAGAACACAGGACATGCACATATACAATTATTGAAATGGTGGTGGTAGAGTTATAAAATAGAAGAATGTGACGTGGCATCCTCTCCTACTCCGGCTCCTCTCTCCTTCCCTTCACCCACATTTCTCTTCCTGCAGCAAACCCAGGGAAGTATGCTAGACTTCCAGTGATCCGGTTCCTGCCCCTTCAAAACAGCCAACATCATTTATATTGGATGTGAAGAATTCACTCACCAAAGTCTGAATGCCCAATAGATTTAGCCTTTCCAGTGTCACCATTTGGCTTTCAAGAAGCATGAAGCCAAAGGTTTCTCTTGAAAAATGCTGGGGTTGGTGAGAATGCTCTCTCTATATAAAAGCCTAAGCAACCGTTTGACCGTTCAACTGGTAGCTATGATGTGCACTGACCACCAGGGGGCAGATGCTCAACACACAGGCATGGAAACATCGAGCAGACTGATGAATCTCAGAGGGATGGGGGAGGGGGAGGGCGGGAAGAGATTAACCAAAGATTTTATATGCATATTAGAGGTCCAGTGCATGGATTTGTGCACCAGTGGGGTCCCTTGGCCTGGCCTTCAGGAATCAGGTTAAACCGGCAGTCCGATATGCCTCGAAGGGTCCCAAATTGCATGAGAGTACAGGCCAGGCTGAGGGATCCCACCAGTGCATGAATTCGTGCAATGGGTCTCTAGTAATTGAATAATCAGCTACCTTAGGTCACTGAATCTATCCCCTACTCTATGCCAGAAGGACAGCTTGGCACCTTGTTTTGGAAGGATTGCTTTCCCTAAAAATGGAGTGTGCACAGGATGGGACTGGTTAAGGAGGTCACAGTGACCTAGATCAAGGCACTTCGAGGCCAGTTACTCTGCCAGCATTCCTTGAAAGGGGACTAAAAGTAACACAATTCACTGCAGCCTCTTAGAGCTTGCCATGGGTGACTGGATATGAACCCAGGCATGGGGCCAACCTCTGTAGGTCAGATTATGCTTCTGGCCACCACAAACCAATCATAAAAACAATTCCTCCCCTGATGTCTATTTGACAAGGAACTCCTTTATGCCAGGTAACATAGAGATTCTGAGATGTCACAGACTTTTCAAAACAACAAGAGGGTATTGATTGAGCACCTAATTTTGGTCAAACCTGATTCTGGGAATGGAGGTTGCAGAGAAGTAAGGCTCATTATCCTGTCCCCAAGGAGCTCAACCAGTGGGGCCAGCCTGGGAAGAGGCTCTGGGGAGAATAGCACTCTTCTTGACTTAGAGGTGGGCCTCTATTTCTGAGGAAGAGAAGTCTTGATGGATTAAGGGGGTCAAGGGCGGTTGGCAAAGAAGTTGTCTTGGGTGTTTGAACCTTGGCTCTGCTACTTATTGACCAGGCGACCTTACCTACCCTGAGCTTCAGCTTCCCTGTGAATAAAATAAAGATAGCAGGAGTACCTACCTCATAGGGTTGCTATAAGGACTAAGGCATGTAAAATGGCCAGAACCATGCCTGCCCCATTAAAAGTATCCAATAAATATTAATTGTCAGTATCAGTAGGAGCAGTAGTATCATTAGTATCTGAGATAACTCCATTACTAAAAAGCATGCACTTCCTTATTTCATTCCTTCAACAATCCTATGGGCTAAGTCTGCACTGTCCAAGTATAGTAGCCACCAGCCTCATGTGACTATTAAACTCTGGCCACAGGACTAGTCCAAATTAAGATGTGCTATAAAAGTGTAAAATGTCTGCCAGATTTCGAAGACTTAGCAAAAAAACAAAAAAATATAAAATACTTGATATTATTATGATTATATGTTAAAATGATAAGATCTCTTAGTACACTAGGCTAGATAAACTATATTATTAAACTTAATTTTCACTTGTTTAATGAAAACATTAAAAATTATACCTGTGGCTTGCATTATATTTCAAGTGGATGGTGCTCTAAGTCATCACAATGAACTTTATTATTAATTCACCAGCTCCAATATTAATATTAATATTTACTCCATTTCACGAGGGGGAAAATGAGGCTTACTCGAGTCAAGTAACCTGCCCAACTGGTAAGAGGTAGATTGGGGCTTGCTGCTAGTCTGTCTCCGTAGTTGAGTCATGCTACGTTTCCTCCTCACCAAGTTCCAGAAAGCACAGATGTGGGATCCAGAGATAGAGCCCCCAGGACCATCCCCAACTTTCTAACAGGGAAATAAATGTAACTAGCAGTCAGGTAGGCGATAGAATTGCCAAAACGCATAAAATCTGGTACATAAATCACGCACCTCTCATGGTTCTATTTGTTCTCTGACAATGTACATATGCCCATGCATTTCCATCAAGAGAGAAAAACACCACCACAGAGAGGTACGTCTGTCTCCTGGAGAGGACTGCAACATAGGATTCCGAGCATCCAAACAGGTTGCCTATGCCCTAATAGCATGAGCTCTACTGTCCCTGGATGTCCGGGGAGATTGGTGGTGACCAGAATGTAAACTATCTCATGCGTGGGGTGGGCCAAGGCAAGGGATGATCATGTGTGTCAGGGGCAGTCCTGCTGCATGGAGAGGTCTCTGTGAGGTCAGAGAGAACTCTGGGTTGGACATAGGCCTCCCTGGATTTCAAGCCCAGACCTGGCCAGTTGGAGCCTTTCCTGGAGAAATTCCAGAGGCAGCTCCAGCCAGGCCCCTCCAGGTCTAGTTGAGCGAGTTGTACTTCCAACATGTGATTCAACTCGATCATCTCAGAACACAAACAAGCCACAATGATAAAGGAATATGCCCTCCTGTCTTTCGGGGGTCAGGGGACAAGGGTGGGATACTCACTGTCCCTCAAGTTTCCTTATTGCTTTCTGTATTAGCCTGTATTGCTAATGTAGCATTGGCTTAGGGCTCTTGCTAAGGTGGGACAGTGACTCAGCCTGTCATCACTGCTGGAGGCAGAGGTGAGTCCCTGAGCTGGTGCCCAAAAGGTCCAAGGACCCTGTCTCTGGGTGTAGTAGTCCATTCAGGAGCCCTTCCTGGAACCTTGATGGCCAGTGCCTCCTTGTGGCTACACCCATGGGTGACTTCACCTCCTTCTCAGCTGGGCTTAAGATTCATTTGAACCTGGCTGTTCTTGTATAAGTGTGTTCTAATCCTTGCTGGATGAGAACAATCACTGCCTTTCTTTAAAAATTTTTTAAATTAGTCTTCTTCCTTTACCATATATTTGACCCCCTTTGCCCTCTTTGTCTTCCCCCTACTGGCGTCCCCTCTGGTAACCATCATGCTGTTGTCTATGTCTATGAGTTTGTTTGTCTTATTTGTTCATTTGTTGGTTTCTATTTTATATCCCACATATGAGTGCAATCATGTAGTTCTTTTCTGGCTTATTTCACTTAAAATGACACTCTCAAGAACCATCCATGTTGTTCCAAATGGCAATATTTCATTTTTCACTCGTGAGTATTATTCCTTTTATATATGTACCACATCTTCTTTATCCAATCATTCATCGGGGGATACTTAGGTTGTGTCCAGATCTTGGCTATTATATCCCTGCCTTTCTGACTCACTTCCCTTAGAAAGTTTTTTTTTTATTCAGTAAATAATCTTTATCACATTTTTCATTAAATTTAAGTAGATATTTACTTTGTGTCATGCATCATGTCTGATGTCGCATGTGTATGACTGCATTTAATTTCCATGGCCAACCCTATGAGGTAGGGTTCATTGTCATCTCCATTTTGATGAGAAGAAGGAGGCTGGTAGGGGTAAGGTAGCTTGCCCTCTACTAAGTGGTAGAGCTGGGATTTGAACTCAGGACTATGCTCACTAAGCTGGCCTTGCCTTCAGGGACCAGAAATAGTTTTCTTCTTTTTGGGTGTCTGCCGGGAGCCGTTCCATGCTTGCTGTTTCAAGGGACCTGGCATATATGGCATACTGTTCTTAATATGTTTGCTCACCTTCTTGGCACTATGTGTTTTAACCAAGGTCTCTGAGAAAGGTGGTTTCCCCAGGTAGGGATTTTCCCCTGAAGTTAGGGAGGGAATAAAACCTCTTAACTAAGTGCCAGGCGGGTAATTAATCACTTTAACTACGAACAATCATGCTTAAGCTACATAATCTTTACTCCCTGGAATGGAGATAAGAAACGCCCTAACCTTTGAAATAGAGATTGATAGGATTGGAATCAACTGGTATAAATACAGATGTAAGAAGTCAGAACTTAGAATACAGAGCTTAGAACACAGAACTTAGAATACGGAACCAAGAGAGACAGAACCTAGGCACAGAACCTACACAGAACGTTCTCTAGAGACAGAAGAACTTCGCTGGAGAGAACATGGCAAAAGATCCTGGACAGAAACTGGCCTCAGAACCTAGAGACAGAACCTAGCGAGAGAACATGGCAAAAGATCCTGGACTGAACCTGACTATAGAACCTGGCTGGAGAACCTGGACAGAACCTGGCTGGAGAACCTAGCGAGGGAACCTGGTAACAGAACCTGGCTGGAGAACCTAGCAAGAGAAGATGGACACAGAACCTGGCTGGAGATCCTAACCAGAACTTCGCTGGAGATCCAGACCAGAACTTGGCTGGAGATCCTGGCTGGGCTGCTGATCAACTGAACTCCGTCTCCGTGTCATTCCTTCTTCACCGACTCCATCCACACCTTTGGGGACCCCTGGACCCACTGGGGCTGGACCCCAGCAGGTGTCTGTGCCCATCTTGACTCCTTATGTGAAGGGCCATGTCAGTGGCTCTTGAACAAATGAATAAAGATAGCTACGTCCCCTACCCTGGGGCTGCACATCTGTGTTCCTGTCCATCTGTCTCTCCTTCCACTGGTGTCCCTTGGCACCTGCTCTAATTCAGTTGCTCATTTTCATTCTCCCAGGGCATGCTGTTCCTTCATAGGAGCCCACTGAGGTCCCATGGAAACCTGAAGCCTTCCAACTGCCTGGTGGATGGTCAGATGCAGGTGAAGCTGTCAGGATTTGGGCTGTGGGAACTCAAGTACGGCCAGACATACAGAACATATAATGAGAAAACAAAAGACCACTCAGGTAACCACTGGCAGGTCTTGGACCCACTAGCTTTCAGTTGAGTGGTAAAGGGTTCATTTCTTACCCCATTTCTGCTTCCTGACGCTCATGTGCACAGTACTTGTGGGTGGGTGTTCCGCTGGAGCCAGTGGTGTGTGGCTGCTCTGTTCACCCAAGGAGATGGGAACAGGTGGCCCGAGTCCATGGTGTGATGTCTGAGTGAGAGGAACTGGTCCTCATTCCAGCTTAGCTGGGCGACCTGAAACAAGTCACCGTCCTTCTCTGTAGTCCTCTGTGTCCCATCACATCTTCCTACCTTCTCAGTGTAGAATGACCAGCTGCCAGGCGCTTTAAGGATGAAGGGTTTGGCCGTTCTGTTCTCTCTGGGTTTCAGTATCACTTGAGAAAATTTTAACATTTTATAGGTGGCTGGGTTCCACGCCGCAGCCACTGAATCAGAATATCTGAAGATGGGGTCTGGGCATCGCATTGTTTTTGAAGCTCCCAAGTGATTCTGGTGGGCGTCTAACGACAAGACCTACCATTGGGAGTCAGCCTCCTCATGGGAGCAGTGGAGGCAGCTGAGTGCTCTTGTGTCTCACCTCCTACGTCTCTGGGTCCTGTTGAGCCCAGTGCCCTCAGCCCTGACCACTTCCCTCTGGAACAGCACATGGCAGCAGCTTTGCTGAGTGCATGTGGGGAGGTCCTGTAACATGAGGTAGCATGTGTGTTACAGAGAAAGACAAAGGGGGCAACTTAGAAAGCTGTTCGTAGTCATTCCTATTTCTCCATCCTCCAATATATTTTCCTTTAATGATCATACCTATAATAACACAAGCCTATGCACCTCACTAGAAAAAAAAATGTAAGTGTATAAAATATCCAGAATAGATAACTCTAGAGAGAAAATGCAGGCTGATGGTTTTCTGGGGCTGGGGATAGAGGGGAACAGGGAGAAACTGCTTAAGGGGTCTGGGGTTTTATTTGGGGGTGTTGGAAATGGTTGGGAACTGGATAGATGGATAGAGGTGGTGGTTGCACAACATTGTGAGTGTACTAAATGCCACTGAATTCTCACTTTAAAATGATTAATTTTATGTTATGTAGGCAATTCAGAAAGGGAAAAGGAACACCACCTGTCACTGCACAGCCACGAGTTAGCCACTGTTAACATGTTAGTGCCCGTTCTTCCTGGTTATTTTCTCTGTATTCACACACAGGGACCCTGGTTGCTCTGTAAGTCGGGCACCGTGGGGGCTGACTCCTCGGGGGATGGATGCTCTCAGTTCTCCTGAGCTTCCTAGAAAGGGTGGCTTTTCTACCTGGAAACTCTCATTCTGGGCCTATGTCTCCTTGCTTCACAGAGCTCTACTGGACCGCCCCAGAGCTGTTGCGGCTCCCAGAGGCGCCCCGGTCAGGAACCCCAAAGGGAGACGCTTACAGCTTCGCCATTGTGATGAGGGAGCTGATCCACCAGCATGCTCTCGGGCCTTTTGAGGACCTTGACGAGACACCAGACGGTATTGCTGGGAGCGGCTCCTTGGCAGGCTGTGGTGATCTGGGTTGGCTCACAAATGCTTGTTTTTGTGATTGTTTTTGCTAAATGTTTCTTAATTTACAATTTATTTCATTCTTATTTTTTCTTTTAAAAATTTATATATTTTTTTAAAGAATTAGAAAACTATTACAGTTTGATTAAAAAAAAACCAAGGAACTCAGAATGACATAGTTTATTCTATAACAGCAGCCAGATCCTGTTAGACAATGAGTAAGATCGTGTTGCTTCTCTACACAACAGCCTCCCCTGGCTTCCCATTTTGGGAGTGAAGACTAAGTCCTTACAATGGCCTGCAAGACCATCAAAGGCCTCTAAACTGGCCTCAGTGGTCTTGTATGTTAGTGTCCTGGAGCAGCCATAGTAAGTTGCCACAAACCTACCTGTTGGTTTGAAACAACAGAAATTTACTCTCTCATAGTTCCAGAGGCTAAAAGTCCAAAATCAAGGTTCAACAAAGCTGCACTTCCTCTGGAGGCTCAAGGGTAGATCCATTCCAGCTTTTGGTGGTGGCCCAGCCCTCATGGGCTTGTGGCCACAGGGCTCCAGTCTCTGCCTCCATCTCCACATTGACTCCTCCTGGAAATCCCTTCTGTCTGTAAGGACACTTGTCATTGGATCAAGGCCCACCTGGATAATCCAAGATGATCTCCTCAACCCAAGACACTTAATTATATTTGCAAGACTTTTTTTTTTTCAGATAAGATCATAGTCATGGGTTCTGGGGATAAGGACATGGACATATATCTTTGGGGATCACCAGTCAACCCACTACACCTTCCTGGTTCCATCTCTCCTGGCTTTTTTCTTTCAGTCACACCGGCCACTCCCCACCACCTCCACCCTCTTCAGCGAGGTCCATCATATATTTGTCACGCAGTTAGATTGTTTTGCCACAAATCTGCATTCTGTCTTGGGGTCTTCCAATCCCTCAACTGATATTTTTTAAAACTAGCATTCTTCAAGGTTCACTCCTTGGGCTGTAAAGTTCTATGGGTTTTGGCAAATAGGTAGTGTCATGTATCCACTGTTACAGTGTCATACAGAATAGTTTCATCACCCTAAAAAAAATTCAGGCCCTTTGCCTATTCAACCTTCTCTCCTCCCCAAACTCTTGGCAGACTCTGATCTGTAATATGTATTATTTGTTAAAATATCTTTTATGTAACATATATGGAATGCAAAATTGTATAAAGCACACTTTGGAGATTTCTACTACAAAATGCATATATACTTCTGAAGTCATATAAAGATATTCTTTACTTTAAGAAAAGTTCTATTAGAAAAAATTAATCTAAAAAATGATAAATCAGGGGGTACTTATAGGATTTATATTTAGATTCCTCATTTTCCAGGAGGATTCAGAATATTTCTTATATTCAGATTTCTCTGAAATTCTAATCTGTTCCATGTACTTGGAAACTCAATATACAAATTTAAGAGCACATCTGTTTAAAGTGAAGCATACTAAATGGCACAAAGTTCCGACATCTGGATATCTAAACCCAAAATGGATTTCAGAAATCCTCAGCCGAATCCGAGACCCCAGGGCATCAGTTCCACTGCGACCTTCCCTGCAAGAGGACAAGGTCAATGAGAAGATTGTGATCCTGGTGAGAGCGTGTTGGGATGAGTCGCCTGAGAAAAGACCCACATTCCTTTCCATCAAGAAAATTCTACGAGATGCCAGCCCCAAAGGGTGAGTTTGGTGTGCAACAGACATTTTCTTCTCCTCACTGAGCCATTAGAATTTTGAAATCATGTGGCTGTAGTTGCTCCTTTCTTCCTTCTTTCCTTCCTTCCTTCCTTCCTTCCTTCCTTCCTTCCTTCCTTCCTTCCTTCCTTCCTTCCTTCCTTCTCCTTCCTTCCTTCCTTCCTTCCTTCCTTCCTTCCTTCCTTCCTTCCTTCCTTCCTTCCTTCCACCCTTCCTTCCTTCTTTTCTTCCTTCCTTCCCTCCTTCCTTCCTCATATACTCAATGCCTACCACATGCAAAGCACTGAGCTACATGCTGGTGAAGGGGGACTGATAAATTCTCCCTTTATTTCACAAATGTTCCAAAAATGGGTCATACTTCCATTGCCCGTCTTGGTCCATTCCAGGCATCACTAATCAATCTAATCTGTCAAGGTCCCAGGGAGATCAGTGGCAGGGCCTCTGACTCTATTCAAACCAGCATTCCAAGGGTCATGACTACTCAACTGGGATTGTGCTTATGCAATAAAGAATTATGCACCAACCTTAAAGTAGGTTATTGAGTTAAATTATTCACTCCTCTCAAAGAATGTTCTCAATAGTAACTGGCTTCAAACCAGGATAATTACATCATCCACCACATTGAACATATGAAGGCACAGCCATGTTAGAAGTAGCTGGGGTTAGTAGGGGAAGTCCTGTGCTAGGAGTTAGGAATCTACTCCAGATGTTGCCATTTCACTGTGCAGCTTTAACACGAACAGCCCTGTATTCTGCATTTTCCACATCAAAATAGTTAAATGGTATGTGTCAGGTCAGTTGGTATGTCCTGACTTTTTACCCAGAAAATATGGTCCCTAATGTTAAAGCAAGTACATTTCCCATGTGAGCCTCAGGGTCCTCACCTGAAAAATGAGGAATTTAAATTTCTCTGAAGAGCCTTCTAAAACAAGAGTCTATAGGATCTAGAAGTGCCCCTTATATCTGTCATCTGAAAAAACAACAACGAATGACTTGTCCTAAAAATCTACATTTTTGATTGGCTGTAACAATGGTAGGAAGCATGTTGGGCCAGTGAATGCCACCACTTGTTGAGTGTCCACTGGGTTCCAGACTCTCAACATTATCTCCCTGAATCCTTAGAACAACCCTGCAAAATGTGTATTATTATTCTAAAACTAGGGGTCCAGTGCACGAATTCGAGCACCTTGAAAGGAACTGTGGGCCGTGCAGCTGCAGTGGGCACAGGGCCGGGTCTCGGCCCATCCTCCATGTCCCCTGTCCGGCCCCTCTCACTGCAGCCCCTGGTTCTCTGTCTCCAGCAACCCTGCTCCCGCCACCACTTCTAACCACGTGCTGACAGCATTGACCCCACTCACACCAGCTGATGGTGCGGAGCGATTGGGGCTGGTGCCAGCAGTGAGTGCGAGTGGTGGTTGCTGCCCCGATTGACCCTCAGGAGCAGGGTAGGTGGAGAAGCCCTCGGGGTGATCAGAGATGGCAGCCACTGCTCGCACCCTCTGATGGCGCCGATGAATTGGGACTGGTGCCGGATGCTGGTAGTGGGTGCAAGTGGTGGCTCCAGAGCCAGCTGCGGGTGCAAGCGGGGCTGGTGCTGGCAACAGGTGCGAGCGCCGGGCAGGACCACAGTGTGTGGGAACAAAGAATTTTCAGTAACCACCAGAGGCTCACCCCGATGGCCGTGACCGGTGCCCCGCCTTGGTCTGGCGCCCCCGCTCACCTATTCTACCATCCCACCATGGCCGATGCCCACCATGTTCCGTGCACGCCCCATGGTGGTCAGCGCACATCATAGCAACTGGTTGTTCGGTTGTTCGGTTGTCCAGTTGTTCTGCTGTTTGGTCTATTTGCATATTAGGGTTTCATATATATATATATATATATATATATATATATATATGTGTGTGTGTGTGTGTGTGTGTGTGTGTGTGTGTGTGTGTGTGTATATATATATATATATATATATATATATATATATATATATTTCTAGATGCAGAAACAGGTTCAGAGGAATAATGATACAGATAGAGACCTTGGAGCTGATAAAGGGCAGGCTCTGTCCTGCCAAATGGCCTCTTGGTCATTTCACTGCTGCCCATTGGCAACCCTGAAGTCAGAAACCTTAGGGGCGAGACATGTTTACTTGGAATGTATAGTTGGAGATGCTCAATTATGATCCTAAAGTTCTTGGAAAAGACACTAATGTCTGGGTTCTTTTAAAGCCACGTGAGCATACTGGACAGTATGGTGAGCAAGCTGGAAGTGTATGCCAGTCACCTGGAGGAGCTGGTGGAAGAGAGGACCAACCAGATGATGGCAGAGAAGAGGAAGGTGGACAAGCTTCTGTCCACAATACTGCCCAGGTATTCCAGAGAGTTGGGAGCCTTCACAAAGGGACCCAGGAAGCAACAGCATCGCCACCTAATTGGCCTCAAATGAAGAGAGTATTTTCTTTGTCCTTTTTCTAAAAGGACACCGGGTTCTTCTAAAACCAGGATCAAGTATTTTGCATGTAAATTGGTACACCCTATAAAAAGAGATGGAGGCAAAGGCCCTAGAATCCTTAGGAATAGAGAGTGTAGGTCTTTTATTTTTTTATTAAATATTTTTTCTATAACTTATTTTATTTATTTATTTTTGAATTTAGGTGTTTATGTATGTACTTGACCTGCTTTGCTCAATCATTTTGCTCTCAATCTTTGAAATACACGATACATAAAAATTCCCAAAATGAAATAATTTATTCTCGGATCATTTATTCATATATGTCAAATGACTACAAAATCCATGCACTTGGTGTCTCAGTTAGGAATGAGTTTTTTTTTTTTTGCAGATTTCTTTTTTAATAGTCATCTGTATATTGTATTGTGTGTGCAGCACTCAAAGGAAGAGGGTAAAGGAGGGATAAATGGTGATGGAAGGAGACTTGACTTGGGGTGATGAGACCGTAGGTCTTTTACATGGAAGATGGTGGATGCACCAACAGGAGAGTGACCACTAGATGGCACTCCAGGTCCACGAGTCTAGTCAATTCCTACCTTTCCAGTATTTCAGATTGTACATCCAAAACCTTGCACAATACAATACAGTATACAGTATATACTATATACCCATTACTTTAGATTCAAAACTTGCTTTCTTTCTTGTCTCTATTTTCACCTATGCACTTTCTAAAATCTTGGCAGAAGCCTCTTCTGTTAAAATTCCTGCACCCTTTTCTATATGTCTTGAGCAAAGCAATGGGGTTGAGGCTTTGAAGGCGTTAATGTGAAATTGGTAGATTGAAGTAAAAATATTGATTTATAGATCAGTGAATGCTTACATTGGCTTCCACCTCTGCAGACCAAGTCTTTATAATCAAACTCTATAACCATAGGGGGAAATAAAGTGCCCTGAGGGAGAAAATCTTTTTTTTTTTTTTGTGACCAGTTCCTCCCCCACCCTAATGAAAATATTTATTTAGACAAAATGCAGGAGGAGAAGCAGGTATTAGAAGAACCCCCTCTAGATGATGGGTTTTGTTAATTAAAAAACAAAACAAAACAAAACAAAAAACCTAATCCAATGAAGCCAAAGGATCCACCAGGGTGACTTCATAGGGAGGGGCCTGTAGGAGACAAGATGAATATGACACTGTAAAGTAACTGTTATTTTCTCCGGCTTCAGCTTCATTGGAGAACAGCTTATAGCTGGAAGGTCCGTGGAACCAGAACATTTTGAGTCCGTGACCATCTTTTTCTCTGACATCGTTGGATTCACAAAACTCTGTTCTCTCAGTTCTCCCTTGCAAGTTGTGAAGCTCCTCAATGACCTCTACAGTTTATTCGATCACATCATTGAAACTTACGACGTGTATAAGGTGAGATGCCTGGTTCCTGGGTTGAGTGAGGGTGAACCGGCCCCAGACAGCAACCAGGAGGAGGGCGCTAGTTTATGCTGGCCGTCAACCTCAATTCCTGGCAGAAACTCAATATTTTATTCCTGTTTGTTCTCTGGAAAAGGGCTTGATTAATCAGAGATGTATGTACTTGCCAAGAAGTATCGGTTGTTCCCTCTGTTTTCTTCCATTATTTTATCTCCCAGAAAACTCATTTCTGAAAGAGGCACTGACCTTCGGCTGGCTAATTCATCCACTTGCCTCCTGAATATACTAGTCTGTCCTTCAGAGCCAGAGAGATTTAGCAGGTTCACTCTTCTTTAAAGGTTGTCTTTGGCTCTGTGACTGTGATCCTTAGCAATTCATATGAAGACAGCTTCCCAAGCTTAGACGAGCAGTCTCCTAGCTAAAGGTGAGACACCAACCCGCTGCCCAGTGCTACTGTGGGGGTGGATGAACAGGGTCACCTAGAATGAAAATGGTTGTGGGAGACGACAACAAAAACGTGCATTGCCTTCTTTCAGTGGGTGAGGATGATGACACTTGTATTTTCTGACTTTTCAGCCGAGGCCAGATCATGACTCCAGAGTGCCCGTGTCCACTCATGCTTGGAGGGCAGCCACAGTGTACAGTCTGACCATGATTTTAGGGCTGTGCTATGGCCCTGGGGCCAGGGAGGTTTGGGGGACAGCACAGTCATGTCCCTCAGTGACATGTGCTCAATTATTATCTCTCAATTATTGTTGCTGCTATTCAAGACAAAGGAAAGGATGGCATGGTAATTTTAAAGAGCAGATCACTTACGCTCAACAGAACCTATCTGACTCAGGGGGCCTCCTCTGGGGTTTCCTCTTAGTGTTATCTGTGCAGTTAGGTTTTGTATGAGCTGGTCTAGAATCAATTTGTATTTCTAAATGTGCTTGTGGTGGGGAGAGATAGCATAGAAGCAGTTAGACTTGTGTGCTGGTTAACTCTGCAAGTTCATGGTAACCAGGAGACAGAGGTGTTTGTACCACCTGCTAATCTGAAATTCCACATTTTACCACATCATCGTTGGAGTCTCCTAAAATGCAAACGTATCTGGAAAGGGCTATATGTAACGTTAAATTTAGACATGTCATTTATTCTCTGTAGTGAAGGAGGGATCTGAAAGCTGATTTTATTAGGAGGATGGGGAGAGAGGAGGACCAATCAGACAGATACATACATGGACCCACTTGATCCTTCAAGATTTACCCCATCAGTACACTGCTGCCTGTCTAACTGGTTTTGAACCTGGCTTGGCAAAACAGGGTCACCACCACTATCAGATTTCTGAGAAGGAAGCAGTGATTGTGGCAAGGAAGGCTTGGGGCAGGAAGGCTTTGAACCTGGATGAGGGCAAATTTGATAAACTGCTGGGACTTTGATGGAGTGGAGATTAGGGAGTGTGGCCCTTCAAAGTCTGGGGCCTCAAAGCAAGGGTCCATAATGAGGGACCTTGATCTCTGAGCCCACCCCACCCCACCCTCATGGCAAACACAAGGCCATGTCATTGCTTTGTTTCCAGGTCGAAACCATTGGAGATGCATACATGGTGGCTAGTGGACTTCCCATCCGCAATGGAAGTCGGCATGTGGAGGAGATTGCCACCATGGCCTTGCACTTCCTCAGTGCCACTGTCCACTTCCAGATCGGGCACATGCCTCAGGAGAAGCTCAGGCTCCGCATCGGCCTCCACACAGGTAGACAGCACTGGGGGCAGGTGGCCTCATGGTCCAGGTGTGGCAGCAGTAGTTCCGGTTTCAAGTCCTAGGGCTTTTAGGAAACCCTGAAACTAAATGGTAACATACTAAGGAAATAAAAGGTTGGATTATGTTCACATGTATATTTCTAGTTACCTAGATTGCTTGGTAACAACAAGGACACACAAAGACTTCAAGGTGAACCAAAAATGAGGAGGAGAGGGGAAACCAGATTACATTGGGCAGCTTTCCCGCCACGCCTCTGCATCTGATGCCCTTTGATCTGCTCTGGTTCTGACAAGCTCACGGGCATGTGACTCGTGCAGAGTCCCTGCACATGGTTCAATGCTCTTCTGTCTCTCTCCAGAAGGTCTTAATCGGTTTTGAATGAGGCGTCCCTTACTTTCATTTTTTTGACCAGGACCTGCAAATTGTGTAGCCATACTTGCTCCTACCTATTCTTATGGCTTTACTGAGATAAAACCTGGCCCCAATCAGAATGAATTAGCCCCAAGTTTGTGCTGCCGTTGCTTTGTTTACATTTCCAGTGCATGAATAATATTATCATTAATTTCTGTCTTAGCGTGGTTGTTATAGCAAAATACCATAGACTGGATGGCTTAAACAGCAGGTATTTTTCTCACAATTCCAGATGCTGGGAAGTTCAAGATCAGGATTCCAACATGGAATCCCTGTGAGAACACTTCCGGGCTTGCATATGGCGGCCTCTGGCTGCGTCCTCACTGGTGGAGAGAGAGAGCTACCGTGTCTCTCATCCTTCTTATAAGGGCACTAATCCCAGCCTAATGGCTCTACTTTTAGGATCTCATCTAAACCTAATAACCTCCAAAGACCTCACCTCCGAATACCAACCTACTGGGGATTAGAGCTTCAACATGTGAATGTGGGACAGACACCAGCATTCAGTCCATAACAACTGGTTATGTTGTTTTCCACCAGAAGTGTGTGGGTTCTGCAGTTTGCCTCTTTGTGATCCCTAAAATCTATTGCCAAGCTTTGCCCTCGAGAGCACTTAACATTGATTGAATTGCGTTTGTTGGTCTGATGTGTACCGTGGAGTCCAGTCCTTGGGAATGCAGACCGGTTTTGGCCACCAGTTCTTCTCTTTTCAGGTCCTGTGGTGGCTGGTGTGGTGGGAACCACCATGCCCAGATACTGTCTGTTTGGAGACACCGTGAACATGGCCTCCAGAATGGAAAGCAGCAGCCTGCGTGGGTATCACTTTCAGCGCGTGGTAAACACAGTGTCACTGTCCCTCCAGGCCCTTGTCTTTAACCGGAGGGTATTTTTAGAAGACCTATTTGCATTTTGTCAGCTGGTTTCCATTTCCAGGGGAAGATTGCTATACACTTCAGACAACACCGGTTGCAAGCTTTGTAGGTGGAGTTTCACACCGTTCTCTCTGTGGAGCCCTGTAAACAGCCTGCCCCCCTTCCAGAACTCTCCATTCTAGCTAAGCAGGCACACATACAATCAGGTTGCTTGAATGAAGAGCAGGAGGCAGCAGACTTTTTCTGTATAGGGCCAGACAGTAAATATTTTAGGCTTTATTGGCCAGAGTCTCTGTTGCAATTACTTAACCACTATTGTGTGTGAAAGCAGCCGTTGAGAATATATAACTGATGGGTGTGGCCATGTTCCAATAAAACTTTATTTGTAGGTACAGGTGGTGGGCTGGATTTTGCCTGTGGGTGGTAACTGGCCCATCTCTGATGTATATAGTTTTATTGTTGCTGAACAGACTTGTGGCCAGGAGTTCCAGGGGACAGCAAATGGTTTTGTTTTACAGTAGTTTTGTTGCATTGATAAAACCTCTTTGAGCTTCTAAGTAGATATTTTAAGGATAAATTTTGAAAGTGGGAGCCCAGCCATGTGGAGTTCCCACTTGCATATGGAGTCAGTTCCATTTTCTGGTCATAGACTAAACATATCAAAGCGTGAGCAATGCCCAATAGTGCCTGAGCAATGCCTGGATGGTGGTGGTGATGGTGGTAGTGGTGGTGGTATGGGGGGGCGTGTCCCAGCCCAAGTGCCCCAGACTTCAGAGAGGTTGCCTACAATTTGCTGACAGTCCAAGAATTTGGGCAGGGTAGCACTCCCTCTCCACAGCAACACTTACCCCACTGAACCTGTACAGGGTCACAACCAAAACTGTAACTAGACAATCACTGTTTTGGCAGCTCTCCGGATTCATGTCTCTCAGAGCACCGCAGGCGCCCTGCTGGCATTGGGAGGATACAATTTGCAAAAGAGAGGCACCATTTCAGTCAAGGTAAGACCAACTATGCCCACCTGCCCCTTTGGGTCTCTAATGGAGATGCTGAGGACTTGACAGGATGAGAGAATCTCTGTGCTGAGTGTAGAGACCCCTAAGGTCCATGTGGAGGCCCCTGTGACTGCCAGGTCTTCCTTCAGAGAAGACTGTACCGTTCCCTCAAATGGTCAAATATGGAGTCCAGGACAGGAGACACCTTTTCTCCCACCCAGACCAACCCCTGTGGGATGCTCCATTCTCTTTGTCAGAGATGGTCCCCTGGTTTCTGCTTGAATTCCCTAGTCTAGTCTACTCAAGGCAACAGCAAATACAAGCCCAAGCATCGTAGCACCCATCACTCTTCTATGCCCCTTCTCTTGAGTCTAAAGTGCCCAGGCAGAGGGGATAGAAACCCATTGGCTTGGAGGTAGTAGGCCCTCATCTCTATACATTTAAATATCCCTTGCCTAGCCCTCAGCCTTCTACTGGCACCCAGGCTGTCACTGAAATGTGCCATGACACAGGCTCCTCTTTCTGATAAACATTGCCTGTCTGGGTGGGAAGGGGGTTCCCCTCTTGGAGATGTTCAGATGTGAGTGGCGGGTGCTTACTGTGGCATTGGGTGTTTGGGTGGTGTGAGGGTCCAGGGAAAGAAGTAAAGGGGAAGAGGGTGCCTCAGCTCCTCGGTTTGCTGAGTCTGGCCCTAGTAGCTGTATTTGATCAACTGAATTCAGAAAAGAGGAAGAATTTTCTAGAAAGCAGCAGTGTAGACCTAGCTTTGAATCCTGTCCCACTACTTACTAGCTGTTTAATTGGAGAGATTGGTTTTATCATCTATAAAATGGGAATGGTGATAATACTTCCCTCAAAGGGTGAGTATAATGATGAAATGTCTATGAGATGCATCACATGGGCCTTTCTCGTAGTAAGGCCTCAAGGTATTTGTTATTATTTTTTAGAGGCGTTCTTTGCAACAAACTTTAGCCTCCACTGGCCCTTACCCCCTAGGCCCGTGGTCAGCAAACCGTGGCTGGCGAGCCACATGCGGCTCTTTGGCCCCTTGAGTGTGGCTCTTCCTAAGCCTTAGGAGTACCCTAATTAAGTTAATAACAATGTGTCTACCTATATAGTTTAAGTTTAAAAAATTTGGCTCTCAAAAGAAATTTCAATCGTTGTACTGTTGATATTTGGCTCTGTTGACTAATGAGTTTGCTGACCACTGCCTTAGGCCATCACTGACTGTCCATCTAAGCTTATCAGCAAAGCCCAAGGAAATGATCAACATTTTGTCTATAACTAGGCCTTTCCCTCATTGAGGCAGTTACTGGCTCGTTTCAGTTCTGGCTACAAACACTGTTTTCAGCAAGCAAGCAAGGGAGACCCGGCTTGTCTGCTCAGAGACCAGGTCTGCTTCACTGGCGGCCTCTCCTCCCTGAGTTTCACCAGCTGTCTCCCCTGCCTCCCACAGGGCAAAGGAGAACAAACAACTTTCTGGTTGAAAGGCAAAGAAGGCTTCTCTATTCCCCTCCCCGAATTTACTGAGGAAGAGGCTGAAATCCCAGAGGTCTTCTGAGGTGAGTATTTTCTTTAAAGTTGTTTGTGGGGCCCCATGAAAGTCCATGGGGTGCGTTAAATATACCATTTCTGGGGTGTAGTTCTGGGTATTGAGTCAGCCTCCCTGTAGGGGGCGCCATCTAGCTGGCCTCCTCATCCCACCCCAGGGTTCTGTGACCCAGAGCAGATGTGGAGTTGGATGAGCTGGATGTAGTGAGCTCATTTCCTGGGGGACCAGGGCTGAGCTGTTGCTCTCAGCCCTGCCAGGGAGCCTGTTCCACTGCCAAATATTTCCAGCTCATTAGCTTGTGAATTCACAGTGAACCCAATTTCATTCTGGAGGAGGGGCCACCCACAGGTCTAGCCCTGTCTGCCTTCCTTTGCAAGGTGGCTGCTCCCTAACCTTTAGTGCTTATTTTCCTTATCAGCTACTCAGCCTGCAAAGAGAGGGAGCTCATATCAGAAGGCATCTGAGGAATGTTTGCAGGGGATAAAGTTCTACTTAAGGTGTGAGTGATCACAGAAATCCAATAGGGCCAGGCCACTCCAAGCAGACAGGACACACCTGCAGTCAGTGGCCAGAAGGCCTGGTCTGGAGCCCTGACCTCTGGGAACATGGCAACTTCCAAATGGATCATGTCCCATCCTCAACGTATTGCTTAATGTCTTTCCTGTCCCCTGGGCAAAGCATGCAATCAAGGCTTGGCTTTTAAGTAGAAGTTTTCCTTCATTTAGGATGTGTTTAATTGTTTTGGTAATCTCCAGCAGACGAAGATGAATGAGCCCATCTGTCCTGCTGTGCACATTTCCTCCTTTGCACAGAGAAGAGGATTCCATGTGGATTTATTCCGTGGTTCTGTAATAGATGTGCTGAACCGTGAATGCATCTGCAGTCCTTTTTCTACGCCTTGCAACTCCTTGCGTCCAGATGATCTTCCGTGGGGCTGCTCCTGAACGTGGCAGTGCAATTCCAATGATGTATCGTGTCCATGTCCAAGACCTGTTGAATTTCCCATGTCTGAAGAGGGGAAAGCCAACGGGGATGGGGAGGTATCACTTTGTTTTGTTTTTTAGCATGGCCACTGCGCTGCCTTTGTGGAGGTATTTTTGAGCCCTGCATATATAAATAAACTGCCTTTTGGTGGATTGAGAGTGTTTAAAACCAACTTTTTAAAAGGTTTGGTGGAATTCTTGCCTTTCTTCAGTAAGAAGGGCACCAACTAGTGGCCAAAGGAAGTGCTTTTCAAATGGTCCCGTCTCCATCAAGCTCCTGACCTCTGGGAGTGTGGCAACTTCCGAATTCTCAAATGGTCCCGTCTCCATCAAGCTCCTGACCTCTGGGAATGTGGCAACTTCCAAATTCTCAAATGGTCCCTTTTCCATCAGCAGAACTTTTCTTCAGCTCAGAGGTGGGCGACTGAACTCTGGGACCTACACAGACTCCACTTTCCATGTGGATTCCATTTTCATTGTAGTAGGTTCGGCTGCTCTCCGAAGGCCTCCAGCATCAAAGGGGAAAGCTTTTGACTGATGCTCAGAGTGGGGGAGGGCAGAGGCATTTATATGAAAGAACAGAGCGCTTCCCCTGCTACCCCAGCATGGTGACAGTGGGCCTACATGTATCTCCTCATGCCTCTTAACTTCTTCCCTTGTTTGGGATTGGGCCTTCTGGATCCCAGACACCATGCTCCACCACGAAAGGGAATAAGGCAAGTTCTGCTCTGAGGTCACTTAGAGAAATGGGCCAGTCCCCATCCATCCATCCATCCATCCATCCATCCATCCATCCATCCACCCATCCATCCTTCCATCCAGCTGAACATTTAATTAATTCAAGGAGAATTATTGAGCACTTACTCTGTGCCAGGTACCACATTGGGGTTCACAAGAAAATAATGAAACTTTCTTTGGTCTTCAGCTCTGTTTAGTTGGAGAAAGGGGGCATAAATAATAGTAATGCAATATATTAAGGACTAAGAGAGGTATGCAGAAATGTGTAGAAGTAAGTAAGCAATCGGATAATGTAACTATTACAAGAGCATTAGATAATGATACACAGATGTAGGAATGGGGAGGGGTATGGCAGTTGTCTATTATTATCCCATCTTTGTATTTTAGGGAATGTGTTTCCTTCCAGCCCTAGCCCACATGCTTACTTCAGTCATATTCCTATAATAAAAACGTTGCTACTTTCTGCCTTTTTCACTGAACATTTTAACATAAATGTTGGGCATACACACACACATAAAACATACATACACACATATGCATACAGATATCACATGCACACACGTGTATATATACATATATACATTAAAATATACCCATACATATTTAGTACACATACAAACGTATCTCCATCTCTATCTCTAATCTCATCTATACCTATCAATTAATAGAAATTTATCTGATGTTTGTACTCAGTATATATATAAGCGTGTGTGTATACATATATATATGTATATATATATATGTGTATACACACATGAATACTATAATATATATTCAAGTTTTGAGAGAGAGAAAGTCTTTAGGGATAATAACCAGGAATTTTGATAAGAGCAATTTTCTAAAATCTAAGGGAGAATGTGCTCTTTCCTCCTCTCTAAATGTCTCTTTAATGTTTAGCACTAATGGGAACTTGCAAGAGAGACTGTTGGAGAATGCTTTCTCTTAACACCTTACTAGAGAAGCTATGATATATGAAGGGTAACCAGCCATCATGGGGCTGTTAGTTAACGTGAAGACAAAACACACCCAGTCGCTGATGACAAACATTAGGGCTTTAGAGACGGGGTAACCAAAAAGAATTTCCCCTAAAATGTTAATCATATGAAATGGCTTTACCTCCTTGCATTAGAAACCCATACTAGAAATTTTTGAAATGTAAACGTAGAATGATGGGAGGTCTGTGAGGATATATATGAGTCTAAGGAGCTCTAGTTGTAGAACTGTGGGGAATGTTGGAATTACCTACCAACATGATATATTAACACTGTGAGTTTAGTCGTAGGTTGTTTGTTTTAAGGCATTTTATTTATTCATTAGCACCAGGAGAGAACAAGATCATTAAATTTTAGGATAAAATAAAGCAAAACTCATACAACATTATTTTACTCTGACAACCAAGGATTTTGATTATGGCTCTGAGTATGCTATTTGAGAGTTTTCACTAGAACCAATAAAATATGTCTCCTGTCCTTCCTGGCTACAAAAATTCTTAATGAACAGGTTGGACTACAATGAGCCATTTTAACCTAGCCTGTTGCTAAACAAACATGTACTCTGTCTCCAGAGATTGGAGAACTAGCTTCATTTCTGAGTTCATTAACACAACTGTAAAAGAACCATCAAACTACAGATCTCAAAACTTCTCAAATATATAAAAGCCCACTAATTAAGTCTGTACAAGACTAAGAAAAGAACTTAGACCTCTGACCTTTCCGTCTCACTCCAGCTTCCAGCCTCTACAGTGCATTTGTGGGAATCTGCCAATTCTCTACCAGGATTGCTTTATTCAATTTTTGTTTTGTTGACAATGAAAATGACTAATATTGACATATTCTGGGTCACTGGGGGATGGGAGGTAATGTTATGAGGGTGTGGCACTGTGAAGATTCATTGGCCAAATTTGCATTTCTGTTTCTGAATTTTTTTGTTGGTTCCATTCTACTGATCATAAGTTATTGAGACAAAACAGGTGTTTGAATGTTGAAGTAGAGGCTAAATGAGGTCAGACCAATCTGTACAAATGAGGATTTCTTAGTAGAGCAAATAGAAAAAAAGAGAGCAGTGAGCATCACAAGGCCTACGGTAGGACGGGGTTGAAGAGCTCCAGGGAACCTGTCGTGGCTGCCACTCTGTAGTCATGCCGTAAGCAGCAGCTCCATGTAGTCAATGCCACATTATGTGAAATTAATGTTCATGTGAGCTTTATTCTTTTTGTAGCTGTATTCCTATTTTTAATTTGTAAGTTTCTTTTGATTTTAAAAATATATATCAGCAATAAAAATGAGGAGTTTACACCTATGTAATGTTTACACATATTTAAGAAACCCTATAACAAGATTAATTAGCACTGGGGGAGCTCAAGAATTACTCCCCTTTATATTGTGGAGATTTGAGCAAAAACTATTCTATTCCACTCTGAACCCCACACCTTGGTTTGAAAGATTGGAAGCCCTGAGGCTCAGCTCTGATCCTCAGATTAGAATTGGCAGCATCAATGGCAAAGGCCTCTTCGTCAAAGTTGGCTCTTCCTGTGTCTTCTGTCCTGAGCACTGACTTTGTGGTTATGCCCTGTATTCCCCTGAACATGCTCAGCTGCACTTGGCTGGGTGTGTTGGTCTTTTACAATCAGGAGAGCTTTCAAAGGAGTCCACCACAGCCCTGCCTTGAGTTTAGGGAGAGAAGGCTCCCCCGCCAGTTGCAGGAGGGGGACTCCAGGAGCTCAGAGCCACAGGAAGTAACAAGAGGAAGAGGGGCACCAAAGGAAAACAATCACTGAAATTCACACAAATCGTTGGAACATGCACTTGGCAAAGCGCTATTGCCTGTTCCCCAACAACGCGGTCTTCTGTGTGTGCTTTTTGGCAGCACAGAAAATGTTGAGTGTGTCATCCACGGAGATGACCTTGGACGGAGAAGCTGCAGCTGCCTGCCTGCCTGGCTCCTATAACACGGCACAGATCCCCAGCATCACGATGAGGTGGTAGAGAACATCTGTGAAGCAAAGGGGGCAGCACACTCAGAAACAGCAAGGACCCAGGACTACTCAGCAGGAGCGTTAACAAAGGCGTCCACCTGGGGGTTGTCAAGTCGCTTTTCATAAATTCTACACATTTTATACAAAGTCTGCCCTGTCCATCCTTTGCGGGGGTGGGGGGTGGGGTGTTGCTCACTTTCATCAGTACAAAGAATCCAACAGCTACACTTGGGATATGCACCTCTGGCAGATGGGGATCTGACCTTGGATAAGACAGCGATGGTGTATTTCACTGCAGGGCTTTAGCTGTACAACTTCTTTTGTGTCTGGGATTAGAGTCTTAAAAAATCAGTTTATGTGATTTCCTGTCACTGCAAGAGCAAACTCTACAGCTGTGAGTTTGTGAATAAACAGAACTGTCTTACCCCAGCTCCTTGCATAGCTGCCTCCTTCTCATCATTCGGGGGAGATCGTGGGCCTGGGCTGAAATGTCTCTTCCTCTGAGAGGCTTCCCGGGCTGCTAAATCCTTCCCCCCTCCTCCCCCACCCCAACACTTCACAGGTATTAGGCAGGGCAGGGGCCTTGCCAGCCTCACTACAGTAACTATATGGTCTAGAATAGCGCCTGATGCGGTGTTATAGTCATTATGGCTAATCATTACTGATGTTTGCTGTGTGCTGGGCATTGTTTGGTGCCCTTATCTGTAAGATTTAATCCAAACAACAGCCATGTGTGATAGGGCCATTACTAGCCCAATTTCATAGAGGAAACGGGGGACTAGGAGGGTGAGGTCATTGCCCAAGGTGAGTGAGGGGCAGGGTCATAGCAGGAAGTCAAATATTTGTTAAATGAACAGGTCATTGAAAATCACTGATCTGTTCTCCACATGTAGGAAACAAGCAAAGCCATCTGGCGATGTCTTTGCTGAGACTTGGGGAGTGGGACTTGGTTCTGCTCCATCCAATTTACCCCTGGCCCCTCTCTCCCTGCTCTACCTCCATCCACTCTGCCCCACTCAGGTGCGCTTTAAGCAGCGGTCGCCAACCAGTGGTCCATGGACCACTGGTGGTCTGTGAGGTCTGAAAGGCTGGCAACCGCTACTTTAAAGAGTCATTTTTTGAAAACTCTTATAGGCTTTGCTGGGGCCAAAGGTAACTTGCTTTAACACACATATCTGCCTGTTAAAAGCTTTGCCCATGACATTTCCCAGAGGCGCCTCTTCTCCTTACCTGAGAAGCTATAGAGACTCGAGAATCCCCTGCCTGTAGTGAGTAAAGAGAGAGAATGCTGAAGGTTTAAGATCAGAGCTATGTTTCTAAAACATAAACTTGTCTCCTCCCCTCATTAAACCACCAGGCTCCCTGGGGCCTTTATGACAAAGTTTCTAGCGCTATTGCCTGTTCCCCTGAGGCTCCCTCTCACACCGTTTTCTCCTCCACCCTCTAAGGCAGGGGTTGGTCAACTTTCTGGAAAGGGCCAGATAGTAAACATCTCTGCTTTGTGGGCCAGGTGGTCTCTATTTCGACCACTTGCCACTGCGGATGAAGCATGAAAGCAGCTGGACAAGTATGGCTGGGCCCAAAAAAACCCTTCTTCATAGACACTGAAATTTGAGCTCCCTATAATTCTAATGTGTCATGAAATACGAGTCTTCTGATTTTTTTTTTCTACCACATAAAAAGATTCTTGGCTTGAAGGCCATAAAAAAATCTAGTGGCAGCCTGGATTACTGCCCCTCCTTCCCACCCCCAGCCATAGTCGGATAACCTTCAGAGGTCTTCCCTAAGCCCTGGACTAGGTTGAATCCCTTGTCATATACTTTATGGCCCCCTCCCCCAATGCCATTGATCATATCTCCCTTTCCTTAGCATTTAAAGTCTCTCTCCCCCCAAGATGCTAAGTTCTTTAAGACAAAGCCCATGCAGGGCTCCTCTATTTCTGAAACCCCAGTGCTCAGGCCACCCAGACTTCTGGTCGCCCCATAAAAGTTTGTTGACTTGCACTGGATGTTCCCAGCACATTTCATTTTCTATTATTAATGTTGACGGCAGGCATGCGCTGTCTGCAAGCTCGGCATATCCTAATTCCTCGGGGGCATTGGAATTCAGGCCACAGGGTAGCTGGCTAATCTTAACTCC